CCTTTCGGTACCGATTTTTATTTTATTTATTTATTTATTTTACTATTTTTTTGGAGGTAAGCGGGCAAACAATACGAAGTGCTGACATGCAACACCATACGGAAATGAAACTCAGTAAATAGGAAAACCAGATACATAACATGATTAACATTTTCATGGAAACGGAAGAGCATAAGCGATCACAGTGAGGAGTTATATGCAGGATAAATGAGAAACATGATTAACAAAAATGCGCTGCATTAACTAATATCATGTATTTTATCGTTAGAATATTATTTCATCAATACTTTCAAAAGTGATATGAGTTACCTTGCGTTAAAATTTTATTTGATAATTTACTTTTCAAATATTTCAATATTAAAACTAATTAATTAATTCTTATGTAAAAATACAAATTTGTATTTAATAATAATACATTAATTATAATTATTATTGATGAAAGAAGAAAATGAACAGAATTTTTATTGTTCATTTTCTACATGTACTTAGTTATTTCACTTACTTAAGCATTTCTTGCATGTAATTTGAATCTTTAAATAATCGAGAGAATTAGCATTTTTACTTTGAAAGAATATATGAGCAATTACGAAAAGTTTTCCGGGAATTTTTCATTTTTAAATTAACGAAATATCATATTTAACGAGAGTCGTATTTTACATCAAATTAGCCGAGAAATCGATATAAATTAACAGTATTATATCGAAGGAGCGTAATGAGATATTTCGATTTTTATTTCAGCTAATCAGCTTAGTTTTTTTTAATGAATTTTTAATATTTAGTCAAATTTATTGTGGAAAAAGTCTTTAAATATTTAAAAAAACTTAATAGAAATGTATTACAGTTTGTTTTTAGTATTAAAGAATTAAAAAAATCATCAGTTTTTAACTTCTATACATTTACGAAGAAAAAACAGGTCCTAATTAAAAGTAGATTTGATAAACTCAGTAAGTAATAATGCTTAAATAATTAACGAGAATTATATTTCGCATTTATTTACAATTATTTTTTCCACGTAAAACAAAATTTTTCACGTTTCATGTTTATTTTAATTACAAAAATATAAAAACACAATAAATATCGTTCAAGAAATATAGCCTATGCGAAACGTCATTTGCTTCTGAGAAAATAGCAAAATGTTTTCATAAATTATCTTGTTTTTATTATTATTATTATTATTCACAGGATATTTAGGCTATTTATTTAATAGCGTTTGCAAAATCAACGAATACTCTATACATTATACAATAACAATCGCTCAAAACTAGATAATGTAATCAATAACATTTTTTCCAATTAAACTATGAATATAACAATAAAATCTAACTTATATTAATCCAAATTTTGTCAAACATATTGTCCAGTAGTTGCTTGGCAAATACAGTATTTCAATACAATTGACATTACGAGATCCGGATCACGATTTTTCGTAGATTTTTCCCCATTCTTCTTCTCCTATTTTGGTTTAATTTAGAACCAATTTAATATAACTTATAATTTAAAAAAGGATACTGGAATTGGCCTGCAATTCACAATAAAAGTCAAATTTAATTATGCACTCCACGACTTATATCGGAAAGTTTATAATTAAATTCCATTGAAGACCTTCAAATTCCATCCAAATTATATCGGGTTAGGAACTGTTTAAGTTGTTACAATTATATATAATTATACCAGCAACTTAAATTTGGTTGCAATCGGTGGATAACATCTCAGCAACAGTTTCAGATTTAAGATAAATCAGGCTTGCAGTAAGTAAATTTTCAATATTCTAATCGTACAATACATAATCAACTTAAGATTTAATCAATCTGAAGAGGCCGAATGATGTAAATAGCGTAACGATCTTTTCACTTTATTATCTATATTATGTCTTTCATAAATTAATTTAAATAACCTCCGAAAAGCGGCCATTTTTATGTTTACGTCAGTAGCCACTCTTTAGAATTAACTGGAAATAATTAATAATAATAATAATATTATTATTATTACTTGAAAATCACTTGGCAAATCTTAAGATAAGAGGCTTTAAGAACTTATGCTACACGTATATATTATATTATGCAAATATAATTTAAAATATATATTAAATTATATTAAAAAATCTAGAAATTTACTATATTAATTAATTTTACACTACTATTTAATTGGGTATTCTTAAAACATCACGGATATTTAGTTTTGCTGATTGATAAACGCTTCAGTTATGATTAACAATGAATACTCCATAATGATCAATGTGATTAAAACGTCATCTTTTATCAGAAGAAAGTATTCGTCTGAATAATTTTGTTATAGAAATTATAAAAAAATAAATACATTAAATAAAAGTATATCTCGGTATTTATATTTAGTCATTTTGAGTATTTTATTGGTTAACTTTTGTAGTTTTTAGTTTTGTTTTGGGCTGCATATTTTTTTAGAAGCATACTTATCGTAATCCGCCATGTTTTCCCTGGAGTTCATTACGTCACAGATAAGATTTAACGTAAAATTGTCTTCTCGGTATTCCCACGAGTACATTAAATGCCATTTTGTCGACAATAAACTGTGTTAAGTCACGGGAATGATATCATCGGTGCTACTAGTCAGTTATCTGATGATGCATAATTGGTCGAATGCTCATAACGTAGACATATTGTGATTCTGCTATTAATTTTAAAAACTGTTAAAAAGCTTCATTGAATAATTACCTGAAAATAATATTTGCAAATTGATCAATTATATTTATCGATGAAACGAATACATTTAAAATCTGTTCAAGATAACGTCAGAAATATCCATTCCATTGTACTAAATACATTAGTGGTTACTGACATTGATGATGTATTTTACGAATAATTTTTAAAAGGAAATATTTGACAAAATATTTGAAATTAATTTAATTCCTAAAATGAATCAGATTAAATATCTAACATTCTTTTCTTTTGTGAAAAAATAAAGCACATTAAAAAGTTCAATTCATTAAGGATTACACAAGTAAATAATTAAATATTATCAGTTAAATTATATATATTTATACACATCACGTATTTAATTATAAGGGTGGGTCAATAAATAACCAGCCGGAATATCCAGCCATGCTGTTGCTTTTATTATACATTATCTCACGTTTATTATAACTGAAATTTTCAGTTTGAGTTTAGATTCAGATTCTAAAAGCAGAAGTGAATGTGATAATATTTCGTAATATAGATTATCACATACAGTTTTATGGTATACACTAATAAAGATGACATTCTGTACTATTATACATAGTTTAGGATTCATGTCTTAGAATATTCTACAGAATAAGATAATAGTTTATACACTTGTTGAAAAAACGGAGTTAAAACGTGGCTATAATTAATTAAATACACTGTCCAGACAATATCCTATAAACTTAGATTATTATTTTGTCCTCAATCAGATATATAATCATTTTAATTGTTCCTGTTTGATTGTTAGTCTCTAATGAAACTCTTCGTAGAATAAGAATAATAATTTAATTTTTAATATATTTAATATTACAATGATAAAAACACTCTTTCGTTAATCAATTTCTTTACAAAATTATCTTAGTACGTAAATACTCTTTACAATAATTCAATTATCAGTAACAGTAACTGAACTATCATTTAATATCAAGAATGAACTAGAATAAAATATAAATATAAACGATTTAAATAGGAAAGTTAGTGAAATATATTAAGATAAATAATCGAAAAATCTATTAAGATGACGGCCCTTAGTTTGAAATGAAAAGTTAGTTTATGGCAATGGCTTTCTTGTTGCAAAGTTCATCAGAATGAATAGTTTGTGGATATTGAACAGAATTCTATTAGAAATAAAATACACAAGTTCTGAGTTTAAATGTTTATAATTTTATTCTCTTGTTTCTGAGAAGCTTTCTTTTTAACATATGTTGTTATATTCATTCTAAGAAACCGATCTAATTAATACTTACATTATATGGATTTTACTTAGATACACACAAATAACAGCTTTGTAAACGTAAAAATTTCTTCCAAAAGCGATGTTTAGAGTTTTCTTTTTGAGAGATTATTATATATTTATTATTTTCAACCCCCCAAATAAGATAAATTGCGACATATTAATTAATAATATCCTGTGTAAGAAAGGAATTTGAATTCTGTCCTATCATTAACCTTATTTTTATTAACGATGCCAACCATCTGTTTAACTTTATTCTAAGAAAGATGCTATCGAAATTCTTTTCCAAAAAATATAAAAATTAAAATAAAACTTTCTTTCATTATTTATCAAGTGGAAAATTATCGCAATATTTTATTATTCGTTCGCATAAATTAAGAAAAAAAAATCGAAAGAAATGGGTCAAAAAATTGCATTATATTTTCATCTGACCATGATTACTGGTTATAGTCCTAATAACAGAACTGTTATGGGTCAGCGAGGGGTTAGAAAGAGGTCACATATGTATATAATAAGTCAAATTTAAGTGAATTATGTCTTTATATCATCACAAGTCTATTCTGACAATTATCATATTTTATTCCGGATGATGTATCTCGTAAGAAAATTAGAACAGTTCTAATTTGTTTAACAAAACAAGAACACTTTTAAGATTTATATACTAGCCTACCCTTGAACCTCAAAATATAACATATATTTTTTTTAAAAGATATGGTTAGAATTTTAAATTTTAGGCCTTGAAGGCATTCTCCAGTGATTTAAAATTCGTAATTTAAACATATTTCGAGTCTATTTACAGATTTAAAATTTATTGTATTAAATTTTAAGACATCTTAATGTAGATACATTAAAATTTTAAGGTATTTTAAATATAAAATGAGAGAGGGAAATTTAAATCTTTAGAAGATACCTAATGGGATTGGATAGCGTTAAAAATGAGTTACGATGACATCATTTGATTACACAAACGTCGGGTAGTTAATGATCGTAATTCTGCCATTGGTGGGCGAGTTAAACAATATTGAAAGTTTAAAAACATTGCGGAATATAAATAAAACGCTTGACAATGTTTTCATCTTGCAACACAAGTAGATGAAGTGAGGATACACGAAGATTAATAGGAAATCCGTCGCAGATATTTTCCAAGAAAATTGACTAATACAATTTTATCTTTAATATATTCATATTATTCTAAACAATATCCATAATGTTGGCAAATATAATTAGTTTTACGTCAATTCATCTATTGCTTTTTCTGGCAACAACCCATGCCATTACCTCGAACTTGATTCCACGTAAGTTAACATCTTTCTAATCTATTTATATTTATTAATAATTAGTATAATCACTTTGTTATATTTATAGCGCCTAAAATATACGGTAATAAAATACCAGTAAAGGATGTGAATACAAGTTACAGCAGGATAAGGCGACTAATTGTAAATGCTCATAATTTCTATCGATCGATAGTAAATCCACCCGCTAGTAATATGTTAAATATGGTAAAGATAGCAATAAAATCATATAAATTATTATTTTTTTATTTTATTAAATATAATGTTTTATTTTAATCACTTAGTATTGGCACCATACAGCTGCCAGAAGCGCTCAGAGTTGGGCGGAATCTTGTAGGGATCTTACACACAGCAGTAGATGGGAACGTTGGGTTAAAAGTAAGTTCTATCATTCGAAAATCCCATAAAATTGTATTATCTTCGTCTGAGACGGCAGGCAAAATAAAGAAAAAGTAATAATAATTTTTATGATGTTCTCAAGTGATATGAAGTTTGACTGATATAGTGATTCTATTGTAATAAACTGGCTGAATATTCTTTCTTGTGTAAGGTAAACACGACAGAAATAGTGATAAACGCTTTCTGTCATAGATATAGAACACAAGAATATTTATAATAATAGCTATTTTTGAGCGTAAGAGCGAGTTTATTCCTCTCTGTCTCGTTTATTTTAATTCTTTCTTTTATATTCTTAAGGCTATATATCACATTTAAGATTATTTTTATAGATTATGGATTCTGTGGTCAAAACATTTTTATATCTACCGCCAGAGTTTCGTGGTTATACCCAATTAAAAGTTGGAACGCAGAAAAACAATTATTCCATTATGGAAGAAGAGATAATAATATAAACGAAGTCGGGCATTACACGCAGGTAATTTTTTCATGTCTCCACTTATAATTTATCTCGTAATTAAATTATAATTACTTTCTTACAGATGGTTTGGTACAATACTCATGTTGTGGGATGCGGTTATCATTATTGTGGCCCCGATCGTGTCAGAATACCTTATCATAATTACGTATGCAACTATTGTCCTATGTGAGTATTTAATTATTATTTTATTAATAATTGTGTGATGTATCACGTCTTCCGTATTGACTCATAAATGGATTAATTTTTACAAGAAAGTTTTCGAGAAACAAACAAATTTCTTATTAATTTTAAAATTGCCAAATATATCGTAACAGCTGTAGGAGCAGCTGTCACTAAGTAGCAGCAAACTACCCACTTGAACGTATTCTGAAACATGATACTTTCGCTACGTAGTGTTTCTTGGTGTTCTGGTCAATAACTAATCGCGGCATCGTCTTCCAACTCCTCAAATTTATTAAACAAGCAACGTTATATATGAATCTTATCCTAAATTATTGTAGATTTTACTTGATTATTGATTTCCTATGTAAGATAAAACTCATTTATTAATTATTAAATTGGTTCCTCTCGCGGAGAATTCTTTCCCTGTTTGTCATTCAACTTCTAACAGAGATTTAAATTATGTGCACCCTGACACATATCTTAAAGCATAAATTTTGTAAGTTTAAAAGATGGAAATTGCATAAGAGAGAGAGAAAATAGATTATATAGCTCTAGTGCTAAAAGTATTTTGACAGAATAAAAATTGGAAAGGTCAATAGGACACGTTAAAATATTTTAGAAAATTTTAAGAGGGTTCTGTTCTAACTCAGATGTTTCTAGTAGGTTAGAAACAGCGATGCTGATCTCTAATTTAAATAAATACGAATACTTAAAATAAAAATAAAAATAAATTAGAGAAAATAAAGGAAATAAAATTTTGAAGTTCACTTTTGATCATTTATAACAGCAGAAATTTGTTATAAACAAAGATTTGTTAACAATTTCATAATCTAGTCGAGAATTCTAATTTAAATGTTTTCTTTTTAATTAAAGAATTAATTTTAATGATAATTAAAATTTGTAAAATTATAGGAAAATTATAAAATTATACGTAAAATTGTATACCTTACCTGGATAATTTTAGCGAATAATTAATTAATATTTTTTAAATGAAAAGAATAAAATAGGATTGCGAGTAAATCATGTTGGGCTGTTCGGCTTTTAAATTACGACATTAATTTTTCTATAAAGTAAAATAAAATCGTACACGATGTTTATATAACTTACGTATTTCCGGAAATCTCCATTTAATAGGTTAATATATACGACCGTTACTTTTGATGATACGAAAGATATGTCAACGATGAATCTCGCCTGTCATCGTTTAGTTTGTTGTCGTAGGATGCTATAATTGGATATTGAGGTTAGTTCAAATAAGAGGTGTTATTCGATGTGAAATGCTACAAGGATACACGAAATTTTCTTGCTTTTTTAGTTTACATATTGACAATCTCATTATATAAAACTGGATGCAAAACAATTGCTAAAGTAATTCAGTCAATCTAATTCAATTATTTTCACCGATAAATTTGTTAATAAATGTAATTATCTCTACATATTTACTAATTTATACATGGACCTAGACCATTTATAAATTAGTAAATGCTGGGCCTAGCCAAGGGTGCCAAATTTTTGGAAAGCACAACATTTTGGAAATGATGCTTTATTAGTTTCTACATTTATAATAAAGTGATAACTTACACAGCAATGTTAGTGTCTTGTAACTTTCACGTAGAAACTGGGACGGAAGAAGCCAAAGCCTAAAGGGCCAGGGCACCTAAAACCCTAAATTCGGACTCTCTCTACAGTTTCCGCAATTTAAACATAATTGCTAGGCATCAGATAAGAGTATAACTAGTTATAGCGAAAACTGTTATTTGTATCTATTCAATAATACAGAAATATAAAAAGCGAAATGCATTAAATTTACCCCAATTTTAGTGCATTTTCTGTTTATATAAACCTGTACTTAAGTTTGCACGAAGAGCAATTTCTCATATTACTATTTCTTTGCTTATCTATAGCAATTATAATATAAATGTAGTAAATTATAGCTTTTAAAAATATATAAGTAGTTTATCCTTGTTAACTTCCTATTATGCAGCACGTAAATAGATTGCAATTTGTTCCTCTCGTCTTTGTTTACATCGAGCTCTAAATTCTATTTTAATACTAGGTTAAATAGATCTTTAAAGGAAAATACCACGTATTCTTCTTTTATCGAATTAAGGAAAATCATTATTAGACCTGTAATCATAATGATATTTTGTATACTAATTAAGTCATAGTATAAAAATGGAGGTTAAAGTGGATTGTTAAAAAATAACCCTACTTTAAATATTGGATAATCGAGATGGAGTCAAAATAACGAGAGAATTATTGAAAAAAAAATATATATATTTTATAAAGTAAAGTAATCAAGGAAAAAACTCTAAAAATAATTTATATGAAATAACGATCGTAAGTTTTGATTATAAAATATTAAAATATCTGAATGTCTGATACATAATTAACTATTTTAATAAATAATGTACAGTACCTTAAATTGTCTTTAATTATTTATATTATAAATATTAAATATGTAGACATTTATATAATACCAGTGCTTAAGAAAAAGATAAAAGTGTTATTTTTCATCCACATACCGAATAATTTCTTTTAAAAATCGATAACAAATTCCATTTTTAGATTATAATTGGCAGTTTTTATTATTTTGTTGTAGAATAAAAAGAAGAAAACAGTTTTTATTCTACGATAAAATACAACCAAGATACTTTTAGATCGGTAAATGTTTTCCTTTCAGACTTTTCGTGAAAGTCACGCCTCACAATCAACATCCAACATGTGCGTGATACTTCTCCATAATGTAGTTTATCGCTTCCAAATAAATTTTTTACGAAGACAATTTCAATTGGCATTCGGAGGTCCGAATGTAAAGTTGTTCTAGCAAATTTGATGGAGTTTGGAGTGAGGATAATGTTTCTTTCGTATCGTAAAATAGACCGATTATTTCCTTCAAAGAGGGATCTTTTCGAAAACTTTTTACGGATCAAACACATTAATAATAAACAAATACTTCTTTCTAGAATTAGTTTTAATATTAATTTCATTCGAAAATTCTGTACAATACTTTCAAAAAAAATGAACTTTTATGCGAAATCTATTCTGAAAAACTCAAATTAAAGCCTTTTACAATGAGTTAATATTAAACAAAAGCACTTCTCTTGAAAATTGTATAAGGTGATTCAAAAGTTTCCATAAACAGTCAAAAGATTCGCTTTATTATTTAGACACTTACAACTCACTTATACGAGTGCCATTCAATGCACATTATAATGTAATTGAATGCACATATTTATTCGATTACACGACATAATTTATTCCATTTAAACCTTAAACGAAATCAAACTGTAAAACTAATTGGCATTCGTTTGAAAAATACTTATTAAACATTAAAGTTTTACTGTTCAATTGAATCTTCCCACTCGTGGCACATGTTATGTATATGTTACAGTCAAAACCCGTTTTTAGTTAGAACGCGTTTTAACTAGGTAGGAGCAGCTGTCACTAAGTAGCAGCAAACTACCCACTTGAACGTATTCTGAAACATGATACTTTCGCTACGTAGTGTTTCTTGGTGTTCTGGTCAATAACTAATCGCGGCATCGTCTTCCAACTCCTCAAATTTATTAAACAAGCAACGTTATATATGAATCTTATCCTAAATTATTGTAGATTTTACTTGATTATTGATTTCCTATGTAAGATAAAACTCATTTATTAATTATTAAATTGGTTCCTCTCGCGGAGAATTCTTTCCCTGTTTGTCATTCAACTTCTAACAGAGATTTAAATTATGTGCACCCTGACACATATCTTAAAGCATAAATTTTGTAAGTTTAAAAGATGGAAATTGCATAAGAGAGAGAGAAAATAGATTATATAGCTCTAGTGCTAAAAGTATTTTGACAGAATAAAAATTGGAAAGGTCAATAGGACACGTTAAAATATTTTAGAAAATTTTAAGAGGGTTCTGTTCTAACTCAGATGTTTCTAGTAGGTTAGAAACAGCGATGCTGATCTCTAATTTAAATAAATACGAATACTTAAAATAAAAATAAAAATAAATTAGAGAAAATAAAGGAAATAAAATTTTGAAGTTCACTTTTGATCATTTATAACAGCAGAAATTTGTTATAAACAAAGATTTGTTAACAATTTCATAATCTAGTCGAGAATTCTAATTTAAATGTTTTCTTTTTAATTAAAGAATTAATTTTAATGATAATTAAAATTTGTAAAATTATAGGAAAATTATAAAATTATACGTAAAATTGTATACCTTACCTGGATAATTTTAGCGAATAATTAATTAATATTTTTTAAATGAAAAGAATAAAATAGGATTGCGAGTAAATCATGTTGGGCTGTTCGGCTTTTAAATTACGACATTAATTTTTCTATAAAGTAAAATAAAATCGTACACGATGTTTATATAACTTACGTATTTCCGGAAATCTCCATTTAATAGGTTAATATATACGACCGTTACTTTTGATGATACGAAAGATATGTCAACGATGAATCTCGCCTGTCATCGTTTAGTTTGTTGTCGTAGGATGCTATAATTGGATATTGAGGTTAGTTCAAATAAGAGGTGTTATTCGATGTGAAATGCTACAAGGATACACGAAATTTTCTTGCTTTTTTAGTTTACATATTGACAATCTCATTATATAAAACTGNATTTGAGTTAAAACTAGTTTCAACTAGACAAAACGGGTTTTAACAAAGACATTTAGTATAAACTAGTTTCAACTAGTTAAAACGCGTTCTAACTAAAAACGGGTTTTGACTGTAACATATATACATAACATGAGTTCATGTACATTATGACGAGTATTTATGTGTGTGGCACTGATGTTATGTGTGTAGATTAATCACAAGTATATCCTTTCGTGTATTTAAGAAGTTTTAAATTCTTAATCGAAGTTTCAATACAGTTTTAAAATGAAGTTAATCGTATACAACAGAGCAACAAGTAAAAAAATTGTTGTGTTTGTTTGCACATTTTATTTTCAGTTTTTTAAACAAGCAATTGTCGACTGAGTGAACAGAATTTCGATTTTTACATTTAAACTCCAAGTATATATTTTTCTCTTTTAAAATTCGCCATTTAAATCCCGAAAACATCTTAAAAATCATAAAAACAAATTAAATTAATTACATTAACTGATTATAATTCAAAACAATTTTTAATTATTTAAATTAATCAGTTTAAATTCTTATTTAAGTCGACTAATTCTACTGAAAATTCCATAAATTTTATATCTTCTACCTTTAAAATTATACTTCTCGAAAATGTAAGAAAAATTAATTAAATTAAACTCTATTTTTAAAAAATAATTTATCATAAATATAATAATTTATATTAAGATAAAATTAGGTTACTAATTATTTATAATTAGCAATTACATAAATAACTTCTAAACACTTATTTATATAGAAAAATAAGAAATAAGTCGATGTGTTTTTTGGCAATATCCCAATTTCTTTTATGACTTTCGAATTATTTAAGTGTCTGTCTGGGTGTCTGTCTACATATTTTGATATTTTTATCTTGGAAACTATCGAGTAATACGTAAATACAATTATTGGTTTGTTGTTGTCCACGTTACTTCACTTAGGAAAATTATTTTCGATTTTTCTCGGCCATATTCCAGTTTTTAAACGTTATAACATTATGAATTCCTCATAAGCGCTTAATTATTTATAATCTTAATGGAATTTTATGCATTACATATACTTGAATTTTACAATTTAAGAGTTATTAAACCATTAAAAGTGTTATANAAAATCATTGTAAATATATCAATTAATAATTTATATGTAATAAACTAATTAAATTTAATAAGTAAAATTATTTTTTTCCTCCTGATATTTAAAACTGTCTTTTCAGAAAAAAGAAAGTTCTTAATCTTATCGATAGATGGCGACATATATACAATTTTAATTAATTTAACTGCAAATTAACTTTTTATGTCGGCGACACGGAACTATTTTAAGCATTATTTTTACAAATAAAATCATTGTAATAATGTGTAAATATATAATGTATACATAACATTTAATAACAAGTTTTAGTATCATAAAAACATTTTAGGTAACATTTTATCAAAGGCAATTTCACAGTAAAACATGTAAAATGATCATCATTAGCTACTTGTCAAACGTGTTTGATTTTTACTACCATCGAAATTCTTGTGTAAATTCTTAACTGTATTCAATTTATAAAAAGCGTGAACACGTCCAGTACATTCTGCGATATATTTTTTTAATTTTTCTGATATTTTATAACCTAAAAATTATACCCGTAACAATTTTTTTAAGTACAAAATTGCGTGCAAACAAAAAATTTTAAAGCTTAGTCGTGATTAAACGCCCACTTGCAGCATTAACTCGACTAGTAGTTTAACAAAGAAACTTTATACAATATTCCTGGAAAGCATTCATTAAACATTCTACGTTTTTCATAGAATTAATCATTAGTTTTCGTCGGTAATTTACTTAATTTTATAAAATTCAGCGTTGAAAAGAGCGTTTTTTTTTCTGTAAAAATTTAATCAAAGATCCTGTTTATTTTTCCTTTTTATTTATTTTTTTTTTAAATGAAGAAATATCAAACCAATTCGTCGTAATCTTATTTATTTTCATTTCGGACATGTGCCACTTGTCTAAAAAAATTCTAACTTGGTTTCAGATTTGTAGCTGAGAAACGATTACAATAAACTTGTAAATATGTATTGCGTGCATTTATTACAGATAAAAATTGTCCACTGTTTTATGTACAGCAAGTTAAATGTAAATAATATTAATTAAGAATTGTAAATTACGACACAAATATTCTAGAGTCATTCTTCTTTACTCTTATAATTTTCTTAAACTTTTAAATTAAACTTTGTAGAAAAACTCTTCAAATTAAATTTCTACATTTTTTTATCCGTAGAATTTTCTATTTCTTTTTTGGAATCGGATAGTCAATTCACCAAATCCTGTTCGGAAAGTTTGTATAACAATCTATCATCGACTTCTGATTAATACCGAATAAAAAAAAACCGAAAAATAAAAAAGTTTTACGCTCGAATACTTTATTTTTTTTCTATTTCTCTTTTTAAATAGTTTCTTGCTACTAATTTTGACTTTTCTTTTATCTTTCTCCACATCAACTTTTCTTTCTTTAATCTAAAGTTACGTGTCTCTTCCTCTTGTTCTTCTTCTTCCTCTTTTTATTTCGAGTTAGAAACGTATTTAAAAAGCATTCGTCACTCCTTATCTTAATTTTTAAAAATTAAATCAGGATATAAGTTTAAAAAACTTCATTTAATTAACTTGTTTTACTTAACATTTGATACTGTTCAATATAGTGTTCACTGTAGTGTTCATAGCAGTGTAATGTTGTTCTAGTTTATTTTATTATATTATATAGCCGTTTGCTTTATATAATTGTTCATTAAACGTTTTTTTCTCCTTTGCATAAGGTTATAAAAAGAATAAAATGAAATAATTAGTTATTTTTTTAGTCATTTTTAATGTAAACTATATAAAGTACTGTACATACCTTGCAGTATGTACATTCCTTTTTAAAAAGAATAAACCGCAAAGGTATAATTAAGAAAAAACTTTTTATCAGAGGTTAAATTATATGATGCAAACAAAAATAATAAACGTATTATAGAGCATTGCTTTATATTCTAAAGACATCTGACAAGATCTTAATGCAAAATCTCTGCATGTTGCGTTGGTTTCTATAATAATCCAGCATAAACCAAATATTAATCTCAATCTTTAATTCATGCTTAATAACAATTCAAGCACTTAAAACAGAAACACTTACCTTAAATTTCTGAACAGAGCACTGTTTTATAAAACGTTCTCAATAGTAAGGACTATCGATAAATTTATATAATTTCAGAGTCTTCGTCCATAATTTCGAATTTCTATTTAGTTTTGCTTTATGTTTCTGTTCCCGGTTTGGGTTTTTATCAGCAAAAATTTTATAAAAAAACAGAAAAAAATTATGAAACGGAAATGATTAATTTGCAAACATTAGTAGACTTCAGCTTGTTGCATATTCTAATGGGAACCATTCTCAAGAGAGGAGGAAGCGAGACGAAGGAAGATAAAAAGCATCATGCTTTTTGAATATATCAATACCACTGTTTATATCGTATGCATAATTAAACATGCTATATATATATATATATATAAATATATATTTTTTTTTTCAGAGGCAATTATCCCGATAAACTTGGAACTCCTTACGAAAGTGGTCAACCGTGTTCCAAATGCCCGGATCGTTGCAAACGAAAGAAACTGTGCAGTAAGTAGACCTTGCAATAGGAAATTTATAGTTAAGTTCTACTTTCTAGAATTAGCTAAATTTTTTCTTTATTTATTTCCAGCAAACGCTTGTTATTACGGTGATTCTTGGAGCAATTGCGCCGAGTTAAATGTTACTTCACCCGACTGGTTGTGTACTGATCGCAAACAGCAACGTTATCACATGTGTTTAGCTACGTGTCGTTGCACTGCCGATAGAATTTTCTGAGAAAATATACTAAATTTTTACTATTTTATTCACGTTTATTTATCTATATTAATTAATTACATTTACATTTTTGTAAATCAATTTTTATAAAGAAATGTATTCGCCAGAATCCTGGTCAGTGATTGTAATTATATTCTTTAATTAATTAATGGTCATTTATTGTAATTAATTACATTTAGAAACATCATTTGTAAAAGCACGCGATGTTTCTAAACTTAATTAAATAGATATTTTTCATTATTTAGTAATTTAAATATCATAAAATCGGCACGTTTCTACGTAAAAAAATCATTGTAAATATATCAATTAATAATTTATATGTAATAAACTAATTAAATTTAATAAGTAAAATTATTTTTTTCCTCCTGATATTTAAAACTGTCTTTTCAGAAAAAAGAAAGTTCTTAATCTTATCGATAGATGGCGACATATATACAATTTTAATTAATTTAACTGCAAATTAACTTTTTATGTCGGCGACACGGAACTATTTTAAGCATTATTTTTACAAATAAAATCATTGTAATAATGTGTAAATATATAATGTATACATAACATTTAATAACAAGTTTTAGTATCATAAAAACATTTTAGGTAACATTTTATCAAAGGCAATTTCACAGTAAAACATGTAAAATGATCATCATTAGCTACTTGTCAAACGTGTTTGATTTTTACTACCATCGAAATTCTTGTGTAAATTCTTAACTGTATTCAATTTATAAAAAGCGTGAACACGTCCAGTACATTCTGCGATATATTTTTTTAATTTTTCTGATATTTTATAACCTAAAAATTATACCCGTAACAATTTTTTTAAGTACAAAATTGCGTGCAAACAAAAAATTTTAAAGCTTAGTCGTGATTAAACGCCCACTTGCAGCATTAACTCGACTAGTAGTTTAACAAAGAAACTTTATACAATATTCCTGGAAAGCATTCATTAAACATTCTACGTTTTTCATAGAATTAATCATTAGTTTTCGTCGGTAATTTACTTAATTTTATAAAATTCAGCGTTGAAAAGAGCGTTTTTTTTTCTGTAAAAATTTAATCAAAGATCCTGTTTATTTTTCCTTTTTATTTATTTTTTTTTAAATGAAGAAATTCGACAGAAACCGAAAAATTTTTCCCACGATTTGTTTTAATTCAATTTTCAAGGCAAAAGAATATCGAGTTTTGTTAAAGAAACTGCTTACAATAACAATTTTCGAGAATTTTTTACGTTCGAGTAACCGGAAAAACATGAAAATCAATAAAATTCAATAAGCAATTTACTTCCTGTTTGTGAAATAATAATATAAACTTTATTTTATTAACACGGATATAACAAAATTACCATTATCATCATATATATTTTAATTATTGACGTATACGTGTGATATAGCCTATAGTATATATATATATAAGTGGAGACTGAAGAGATCATTTTAATAAATCAGGTGTGGAGAGACAAGAAATGTAAGAAGAATAATGACTAAAAATTAATTAAAATATTTAAAAAGAGTCTCGAGGAAGGTCTTTAACTGCAGACACCCGAGAGCTGTTTATAGGCCACGCTTCAATCAGAAAATAAAAGAAGTTCCTAAACAGGAGAGGCAACACTTCAACCTTAAAGGCACGATTCTTTAAGCGGAGAGGCAACTTTAAAAGGTGACGATTATTTAAGAGAGATGTGTAAGAAGCTATTGTTTTAAGCATGATTGGAATATTAAAAGCACTTATTATTTAAACAATCTTTAAAGATAATTCTTGAAACGCAAAGATGCTCTCGAAGGATAATTCTTGCGTTGAAACAATGGAGACTGTTGCAGGTAGAAGGAGGAAACATTAAATATTTCAAACGTGGCATCCTCGTTGGATTGTTAGTTTAATAGGATTTTACTTTCGAAACGTTATTTTATTTTATATTCTTCGTTCTAAACTGCTAACTTAAAAGGAAACATGCAACACCAACTCCTCTTTTTTTCGTTACTCGACCAGTTTTTATGCCTCGCACCGTAAAACATCTTTTTCAATCGTGTAATTTATATGGAAATAAGACAAAAACCTGCTGGGGGTAAGATCAAGGTCATAAAATATACGATTCGTCCATTTAATATAAAATTTTAAAATCTGAAAGAGTTTAAAACTTCCGCTAACTTTTGTTCCTAATGGACTCGAAGAGCACCGAGTACACAATAAAAGCACTTGAAGCGATGTCTGTCTGTACACGAGAATAATCGAAGCGTGAATCGAGTGACCACGGTCTATGACGCAATCGAATTTTTGAGAAAACGTAGAGAAACCGAAAATGTGGCCATCCAAATAATTAGATCCGCTTCTGAAAGCAGATGCGTTTCAAAAATAAATGCATTTCCATCCGGAAAACGTTAATTAAAACCGATTTCCTTTATTTTGAAAAAGCCACTAAAATAAACCACGGATTTAATTATGTTTAGTGATCCTTATTTGTACGCGATTAGCATATTTAAGTCCTTTGTCCGTCCTACATTTGTACGGGGAAGTGAAGGAACAATGGGAGTGATTATTCGTCGTCAGAAACCGGGACTTAAACGTGTCTATTAAATGTTAACTTAGCAAACAATGGAAAGAAGAAAGTGCTAACTTCCTCGAAAAACGTCACGTTTTAAAATACTCAATCTGAATATTTAAGTGAGAAAGAAGGAAAAATGAGTTTAGAAGAAATGGCGACGTCTTACTTATTAGAAGAGTGGAATTGTTTATGAGAATTTGGAAAGAGGTCGGAGGCTGGCTATTGTTTATTTTAATAAAGAAACCTCCAGAAGAAATAAATAGGTCGAACTATGTTAAAACTAATAGAGGTCATGTTTCATCTTTTGTATTTTGTTGACTTTATTCGTTTTATAACGTTATGTTGACGGGCATTGAACTCCTATTTTTTGTTATAAAGATTGTTGACTGTCGTGAAACTTGGATGCATCTTCGTGTAAACAATCTTTATATGATGTTTATACTATTTTTAACCGATTTAAAACAATAAAATGTTTTCCAATTAAAGAAAAATTGCAAGATTAATCTAAACATTTGACGAGGTTCTCCGTGGAAGACTTGGGCAAGAATGACGTTGTGGCTATAGAAGGCGAGCATCTCTGCTGGTATCGTGTCATCTCGATCCACAGGTATCACGCAATGGCCCAATGAACTTAAGACAACGCCCCGAATTGCCAGTTCCAGTTTGGTTAGCCGTTGTCGAGTTGTAGGCCGTCTCGATAGTGTGTTGGAGTCATCTCATTACACGACTCTTTTTTCCCTTCATCTGTATATAAGAAATCAACAAAGTGTGACAGATGGACGTTACATTCAATCGGATAATTCTGCGAGGAATAGATAACAATGCCGGAGTGAACATGAACCCGCGTTAATGCTGTTATGGCTGTGGAAAAATCGACCTTATCCGACCAAATTGTTGTGGATGCTCGCAATAATGCTACTACCAATCGTTCGAAAGTGACGTTAGCTGGACACGGCATGAAATTCCTACCGGATAATCTTCATAACGATAATCCACATCTGACCACGTTAGATCTTCGACACAACCTGTTAGATTTGTGTTCGACGGATGCAAGATGCATTACACTCAACGATTTTTCACGTTTCGAGTATTTGGCATACCTGAATATCGCCGATAATAAACTGGGCCAACTGCCCCAATCGATAGGAAGATTGACAAAATTGGAAGAATTAAACATAGTGGGAAATGGATTAACGGTTTTACCTCCCGAAATTGGAAAGCTGGAAAGGTAAGTCATCGTTTTTGTGCAGATAAAAGTTTCTATTTTCGAATACTCCATCAGATGTTCCCTAAATCAAGCTTTCAATCAGACATTTTCCCTAGAGAGCCAGCTGACGTTCTGTCCTTGACCCTTGTCTTTCAGCATTCAGTAGAAATTAAAGCTACTAATTTCGATCGTGTTGTCACGTAACTAAGATGGACGATCGATATAGACGACATTGGAGATGTCGTAAGAGAGTAATTCGAGATTTACAGATATATTAGGCTATTGTGTTAAATAAAAAAAACAGTTAAATCAGTCTTTCTGGCAAAAACAAGATGTTTACCTTTAATTTCTCGATAGATAACATTAAAGTAATTCCTTTTATCTTAAATGTATGGCTAATGATGGCCGGTCATCATCATCAGTCAAGCAAATTAGAGTGTTAGCCGATGATAATTAATGTTAATGAAGCTGCAACAATTACAAATATTCAAAGAAGAAAAATCACGATTTAGAGGTGAAAATATATTTTTCAATTTATAAAGTCGTTTTACTTGACATATATATTTTCTCCCAGAGGATAGTCTCACGATTAAATCACGTAAGACGGGCAGAAAAATCTAAATGTATATATATAAAAAGAAAAACATAAGCGCAAAACGTGATGGGCAGAAAACGAGAAGGTAATTTTATAATAAAGAGATGTTATGTTTTAAAAATATGCCAAGATAAGATTAAAATCAAAGCTAAGTCATCTGTAAATATAGTTCGTGATTTATTGAAGATATTTTTTCTTCTTATCTGCTTTTAGATTCTCGATGAAACAAGAAGGTGGTAAATAAAAGAATATTGCATGACAGGTCACTACCTTTAACTGCACGACCTCCTTCCGGTAATTTTCTAATCATATACTTCAATAGAGGGTAATCTGAACTTGTAAAAATGGGTCGGAAATGACAATTTTTACAGACACACAACCATTGTTTTTCTTTTGTCCAGTATTTTAATGACATTTAAGTCTAACTTGCGAGAGAAAAAAACACACACTGTCACTTCGTATCACCGTCCATACATAGAAATAAACTGTATTCACTGGTTAAAATACATTTCATTTCATTTCCACAAATCAAAATGATATAAAATTAAGAGCCAATATAATTTTTAAATCATGAATGCAATTTATATTTTCATAAATTCACAAAAAATGTTGGCTTATATGACAAGAGATTTTTTAATTCGTGTAACAAAATAAATAATATATAAAGGTTTTATTGATTAATAATTATCTATAATAAACTATACAAACAATATAAAAATGTAACATAAAATGAAAAGTAACGGTAATAGTATTAAGAATTTCGAGGAAACTCTACATCCGTTTAAGTATAAACTTCAACCATTATATTCGCTATAAAAGGTAGAAGTTCGTAAAGATATTCTTTATAAATTTACCTATTTTATAAACTAATTCTTCAAAATATCAAGAAAAAAAATACTTTTTATAAATTAAAAAGCAATAAAATAAAAAATGCAAACCGAAGTTGACGTAAATTAATTCAAAAACTGATGAAAATTCATTAAAAAATTAGCTCATTTGCAATGTAAAATAAAATAAATTATGTCAAATTATTGAAGTATGCAAGTTCAAATATTTTAAGGATATAATTATAATAATCTGAATTAAAAATTATATACATTATAATACTTTTATCCGCACACAAAAAGTATTACAATGTATGTTATTAAACTTTATATGTGTTAAATTATATCATACGTATATCTAAATACATAAGTTATATTGTCGTAAACATATATGTAATTATATTACATGTATGCAATCGTATATATATTGTTATATTTGACGTTCTTAAAGTAACAGCCGGATAACTGTATTCACGAACATGACCTGTTATGTTTTACTAGGTATTAAAATTAGTCGAACAGCTAATATTAGTTAACGTGATGCAAGCATAAATCAAACAATAAAATATTTTTTTCTTAGCCTATATCTGTATCAGATACTGGTAGCACTTTGTTAGTGGGGCGCATTTTAAAAGTCAGGAAGTAACTCGTCAAACTAGAAGCCTAATTACCGAACGGTAAAGTATCGATCTGAATTATTAATGGCCACTTTTTTATTTCTGTTGGATATTCTATATACGGATATCAATCGCGCCGAGGTCAGTAAGACGACGACATCGTTATCGGATCATCACTTAATTGCAGATTACAAGATTGACAGATTGCTACATCTTCGCCGATCCATTCAATTGTATTCTTTCAAATTTAAATGGCAAATTTTACTTCGTTAGTCGATCTGTATTAAGATTGATACAGGATTTAGGACCGGAGATTTTGATCAGATTAGATTACGGAGGAAAAAAACATTATATTGAGCTATACGAACCGTCTTCGAATAAACTAAATATCTAGTTAACAGAATACATATCAGAATTATGAGTTACATTACTTTACATAAGAAATATGTAATGTCTAACTGTTACTGTTATGTTACCATATAATGTATTGAATATTTAATTAAATTAATCTTAAAATATTTTTCGAATAAACTGTTTACTTAAAGAGCTAAATTAGCTTCATACTCTTCACTTTTATAGCCCTAAATATCCTAGATTTAGATATACTGAACATTGAAATTTATTAAATTAAATTTTTAAAAGTTTTCCAAGAAATGCAATGCACTGGAAGTTTTGTAGTGCAAATGTCTTTTATAGAGCGTAGGCATTATTTAGAGAGGATAAAGGAGAGGATAAGAGGATATGCTCCTTCTTATCAAAAGTTTAAAATAAATATATAAAATTTATAATAAATACTTAATATATTTATTTGGGTGACTCTTCTAGTAGTTAAATTAAGTTTTAAAAAATACAATTCAGTTTTTAATCAAAATTTGTGAGACCAAGTCTCAAAAATCGACTTCCTAAAATAATCCAATAAAAATAATTATTATTCTATATAATTTCTGTGTTTTAAGAATTTATTATTTTGTTAAAAATATACTAAAAGTATTCTTGCGATGATACTTCATATATTCGACCAAGAGCAAAAGTCATATTGTGTTTTGAAAGAAATTTGCTGTCGTTTCTATAAAATTCTAATGTATTAATTAGCTAAATTATATGACTATGTAGAAACATTAATAGGTCTTGCCTAATAGTATTGTCTGCATTATAAAAAGCCAATAGCAACAACCACGAGAAATAAACGTGTAGAGAAAGCAAACCATTCGCTTCAATGCATCGACAAAAATGTTAAAGGAATTAATTTGATCCTTGCGAACAGAACCGTCAAATTTCGAATTAAAATCCGCCCGTGTAAAGAATCAAATAAGAAGAATAAACACAAAGACCACAACGTTGACAGATTATTGCATTACACAGGATGTAGCACAAATGCGTGACTCGTACGATCAGCATGAATCATAACGTGACGAATGTCTTCAAAACTCTATTTAATATTCTCTCGTGTACAAGGTTTCTTCATACGCCACTGACTTTAGATGTAACTGCCCTTTCAAAGACAAACAACACACCTTGAACTTAAAATCTTTTACACTTCTAATAAATTTTTATATATTCTTTTTGAACAGATTAACGAGACTATACGCAGATTTCAACCAGCTGAGCACGGTGCCAACGGAGATGGAATTATTAAATAAACTAACCGTTTTATCTTTGAGTCATAATAATTTCATTATGTTACCGTCCACGTTACAGAAAATTAAAACTTTAGAAGTTCTCGTATTAAGTGGCAACTGTTTGACTTGCCTCCTTCAGAAACCTGCAGGGTTAACTTATTTAGATGTTCGTGCCAATAATCTACAGGGGATTATAGAAGTAAATGATCTTCAAGTAAGGAACTTGTACAGATTACAATTTTAATAAAAATATGTACACGAAAATAAAAACAAAACACTTTTTCAGATGCTTCAACATCTCGACATCAGTTATAATTGTGTACAGAAATTAGAAATAGCTTCTTTGTCTCAGCTTCGTTTCATTGACTCTTCGTATAACCAATTGAATTCTCTGACTCTTCATGGTGAATCTTTGCAGATTCTCGTTGCTAGTAATAATAGTAAGTAAGATAAACTATAATTTGATACAGTTTATAATTCGTATATTTACAATTAGATTATTTTTCAGGATTAAAAAAGCTCGAAATCGTATCGAGCGTAAACAAACTGGAAATTTTAGATGTCTCCTTGTAAGTGAACATTTTACTTTACCACTAGAAATTTGTTAATTGTAATTATTTAATAGATTCATTTTATTCAGCAATCAATTGACGTACATACCAGAAATTGTGTGTGATGCTCCTCAATTAGTGATACTCGATGTTAGCCACAACCGTTTGCCAAATATTCCTAATAGGTAATAATATAATTCATCTTTTTTTCTATTGTTTAAAATGATCCAGAATTAAAATTAATCTTGTTTTTAGGCTATTTAACAGTGATCAATCGCAATTGCAAATAGTTAAACTGAATCATAACTTGCTGAACTTTTTACCCGAAATAACAACAAATTTTGCCTGTAGATGCATTCATCTTCAGCATAATCTTCTCTCGTGCCTTCCATTAAATTTATTTATTTGTGCAATCAGGTAAAATGTATTTATTTTAAATCGGATAACAATTTTGTATCCTTTAAAAACTACAACTATTAATCATTAAATAGGTTAGAGGAACTGAACGTTGCCCACAATAGACTTTTGAATCTACCTTTACCCTATCACCCAATACAATTAAAGAAACTATACCTTTCTTCTAATCTACTTAATGAAGATATATTTCAGTTAGTTTCGAAATGTCCGAAATTGCAAGTACTACATCTCGCTTATAATGGTTTACAAGAAATTCCCGAGAGGTAAAATTAGCGATATATTTTTACAGTTTAAAAAAAGAAAAAAAAAATAGGCAATATTAACAAATATTTCTTTAGTATTTTCCAAAATTTATCCAATCTTCGAGAGTTTTCAATGGCCGCCAATCAGCTGGATCAATTTCCTGCAGGATTAATAACACTACCTTTGTTGCAAATTCTCTGTCTACATTCAAACAAACTGACAAACGTTCCCCAACTATCCAAATATCCGAGTCTGAAGGTTAGTAACTTTTAAATGTTTTGAAATTCTTACATAAAGTTATCTTTCTTACGATCTATTCTTTTCTTCATTTTAAAGGCTATCGACCTAGCCTGCAATAATCTAAGCAAAGTATCCTTAATGTCGATAATATCGCCTCATCTTAGTTACCTGGACTTGTCATGTAATAGCCAACTTCAGATAAACCCAACGGAATTTCATAGCCTTTGGTAAGTAAACTAACGAGTAAAGACATTAAACGTTAAAAGTACTTTATTGAAAAAAGAAATTGTTTTCTTTTCAGTTCAGACAGATCGGTAGGTATTGTTAACGTCGACTCGAAGAGAAGAAATGCCGTTCCTTTCACTAATGAGACTAATAATATAAACAACGAAGATGAAGATCCGTGGGTTTTGGGCTTTACCGAAACCTATAGTGGAACTGCCAGGTATTTTTCATTTTTATATTAATTTTCCTTTGAGAAATTAATTAATATCAACCTTAAAATTATAATTTCTTTTGTTTAATTTAGTATTTATAATTAAATAAAAATCATTTTTGATTCAGATCCGAAATATTTGTTCTACAAAGTATCATTTGTGTTAATTAAATTTAAAATAAATTATTTATTATTTGAAGTGTATTTAAATTTTAAAATGAACAGATAATTGTTTCCGGATAGGTTTAACTTAAATTGTTTATAATTAATTCAATTACATTCTAAACACTTTAATAATTAATTTTTCGATTAATGGTAACCAATTATGCATTCAGAACAAATGTTCTAGATATAAATATATTTTTAAAATCAAATAGTTAATTAACCGCGAATATTTTTAATCACAATGATTTAATACATTATACTTATTCAAATTAAATCCATATTTAATTCGAAAATATGAATATTTACAATATAATATGTCGTCATAATTTTATAAAATAATATTTTCAAATTGGATTGATTAGGAAAAAAAATGTTTGAACAACTTTTATCTTAAATATGCGAAATGAAAAATAGTATATTTAATATAAAGGAGAATTTTAATTATTTCATTGTTCTAAAAATGGTTTCTCATCCCTGACCCATATTCGATGACACTGTAGGGTTAGGCCCGCTGGTAATGGGCAAATTTCAGACCAAGATCTATCCGTTTGGCAATGAAAAAAAACAAAGAAAATTAACATATTCTTCTAATAATTTTTTAAAAACTTTAATATTCATTTCGTATTTCTAAAGAGTAGACAAATTTTTATTAATAGTTTATAAAATTTCCCGATTAAAAAAATATTATTTATTTAGAACTTTAAAATAATGTATTCAGTTCAGATTATTGAATGGAAAATCTCTGAACTAACTTACAATTTTCTTATTACTTCATCCAGGTTAAGCATAAGTATGGACAAAAAGAAGCAAGAGTTATCAATAGTCGTTATCGAGAGCAACGACAGAGAACAAGTTTCTCTAGTAAAAAGCTTTTTACCTCAATTGTTAAAAGCTGAAAAGTCACGTACGGAAGGAGCCATCCATTATATGTGCAATACAATACTTGCTGCCCTCAGGTATATTATTTCGCCACTACTTTTCCTCTTAACCGTTCTCCAAGCCAATGTAAAAAAACGACAACGCAATTTTTAGGTTGATAAAAACAAAATGGCCACATTCCGATCCTTCTTTAACCCTTTATTGTCTAACGCCCTCGCCCGACGACGACGACGGTTGTTTTGTCCTGAGGCTGGTCAGCGCCGGACAACCCGCCGGATGCGTTTTGATTGATAATGGAGAAGCCATTGCCATAACAGAAAACAATATGGAGGACGTTCCTTCCGTCAATCAAGACTGGGAAACAGCTTTAAAGGTTATTAAAATAACTATTTTTAAAATGTCATTAATTATGTCGTCGCCGCTAATTACTTCTATTAATTTCGTAGGCTGGTTTTACTACTTCCAACAAATCGGCACTGTCTACGGAGCATCTTCAACCCAAACGGAAAACCTGCTTCATTTCCGAACCGCAAATGAAGGAAATTCGTTTAAAGAACACCGAATCGCACTTAGTTATAGGGAGCAGCGCCTTGTGGGAGGCCCTAGAAGTTCAAGAGATACTCCAAATTGTCGACAGAAACGAACAAATAGTGCAGAGTTCTAAACACCTTTCGGAACTTTCTATGGCTATAGGAAACAGGGAAGGTGTGTGTATAGCGGTTTTAGCGCTACAGCTAGACAAAGCCAATTTATTCAGTAATTCGAGCAGCAACAACTCTAGCGATGATAATAATCAGAATATCAACCTGTTATCTAGTTTTCCGAATATATCGAACTGGCACAACGAGGACGAAGACAAGATACAAAACGACGAATTGATCGAAGATGCTGAGAAATACAAATCTTGGGAGTATATGTTAGAACAGAATCACAAAATGCTCTTCTCTAGAGAACTGGAGACTATTCACAGATCTCTTGCCTACAGGAATACACCCATACAGAACGAAGATTCTAGCAATTGGTGTAGCAATAATACCTCAATTCATCCACACAATTTTCGGGGACGTTATTATTGTTACGGTTATTACGACAAAAGCAAATTCCCATTTTAAATATTAATTATTTTAGAGTTGTAAAATTTGTATTTAATAAAGTATTTTGTTTGAAAATAATTGTTTTATAAACTGAATATTACCGGCAGTTAGAAAAAAAAACAATATTCATGAATATTAATAGGTTAACATCCTCCTAACCACTGAATTTTTTTTAAAACCTACAACTGTAAACCTATACCTTCAAGAAATAATTTTGTATAAAAACTTGCCTATTATTTTTCTTTCTTATGGGCGTTTCCTTTAAATTACATTCGCAGTCATTTTTAAATATTTTACAGGAAAATATTAAATAAATCTGCTCTAGTTCAAATAGTGTCTGTCTATATTATTTAAGCGTTAGTAATTAAAACGTTTGTTAATATAAAAAACGTACGCGTTACAAAAACCGAAGTCTAAATAAACGCATTTATATACAATTTCTCCCATTACTACAATGTATTAGATAAAATATATTTCGTATCGGTTGTACTGTACCTAAGATAATCTTACTTTGTGAGAACTTCCTATACAAATATGTATGTTAGTTATCAAATTAACTGTACACTAATGTTGCCAACGATTCCAATATTTATATGAATATTTTTTTACAGATTTACAGAAATCTAAATTCTTTATTTTTCCGATACATTTAAAAACACATCTGTACATTTATAACTAAACCAAATATGCACTGTATTTTAAATTATTTAAATTTCGGCAATACGAGACATTCTCGTAATTCAATAAAAATCATCTTTTGGCAAAGATAAAGAATAAAGGAAATGCGTGAAAGACAAGGAATGCTACAAAGTGGCTAATAATCCAATTACTGAAACTTTTGATGCTAACTGCATTTTTTAAACCATCAAATTGTTCCAGTAAACCATAAAGACTTCTCAAAAACATATTTCTTATATAAATATCCTTAGATAATATACACTTTAATAATTAATTTTTCGATTAATGGTAACCAATTATGCATTCAGAACAAATGTTCTAGATATAAATATATTTTTAAAATCAAATAGTTAATTAACCGCGAATATTTTTAATCACAATGATTTAATACATTATACTTATTCAAATTAAATCCATATTTAATTCGAAAATATGAATATTTACAATATAATATGTCGTCATAATTTTATAAAATAATATTTTCAAATTGGATTGATTAGGAAAANTTTTTTCTTTCTTCATTTTTTACAAACTTACAGGATTAGTTTTAATCATCAGAAAAAATTATATATATATATACCATTGAAATGTTCATTTCTTAAACAATAAAATTAGATACATAATTTTCTACAGTTCAAATTTACAGTGGATTTATCATCAGAATAATCATTTTCATCATATACATAACTTTTCTCTGTAAATACAATGACAAAGTCATTTTAAACTTTCCCTGATTTCTTTTCTTCATTTCTTTGTTGCAGAAAGATATGTTACAGATCACCCTATATATATAATTTGTTTTTGATACATTATAAAATCCAAAATAACATAACTGCACAACTACAACGAATTAAAATAATCTGGTCCAACAATCTCTCAGGAACAATAGAGAAGGATGATCATAAAGTCAACAAGTAATTTATATATCAACTTGAGCATAAAACAAAAAACTAATAATAATAGTAATTCACTGTATGAGCACAATTTCAGAAAAGTCATAGAATGTTCATTTGTAACTCAAATTTTTCCAAAACTTTCCATTTGTCACTGAATGATAATTGACAGAACAGCAGTGAAATCTTTGTCAAAGCAATTACAAATTAGCTATTCCTTGTATTTATACTCCACTTATTATTGGTCCATAGTTATTGTTCATTAGTAATTTTCACAATGCTTTACATATAAACAACTTTGTGTTTACCCACCGGCACATTACCGTAGATTAATATTTGTCTCGGCACATTTTGAAATAGTGCATTGTTCTAGTGAAGTCTAACTGTTTGGTTTTTGCTACTTCTGCAAAATAGCGCCCCGTGGGAAGACATCAAATTAATGTCACTATATAACAAGTTATATTTATTCTTGTGCAAAACCTTCTGTTTCTTCAATGGCATAAGTTAATTTCTCCACTAATTGTTCATAGCTCTTATAAGGAGGCAAATCTAGTCTATTAAAACATGTGTGACTTCTTGGAAGCCATGTCTCTTTGCCAACTTTTTCTATACAAAATCGTTGTGGTCCATTACTTCCTGCAAATAAAAATACTTTTATTAGTTCATTACAAAATTATTAATGTTAAATCCAATAACTATAATTTATATAATCAAATAAATAAATAAATTGTTCATATGATAAATTACTATTTGTACTTCAGAAGTTTGTATCAACAATGTATCAATGTATCAACTATATGTAAACAATGTATCAACTATAACAGCAACATCAGAAGAGGATCAGAACTCAAAGGACAACCAACCAACTAGTAAAGAAAACTACAGCAGTAACATGGAATATTTTTAGTGTCTCAAAATCCTCTACCAAGTTTAATAATTTGTGTGTTTGTTTTTAACAACTGTTTTTTAGACTTCCATTGTTAGGAAAAACCAGCCAGTCACACTCAATGTATTTTAATTAGTTTCTTTGTACTTGTAATTGTTATTTGGAAATTTACACATTGTGGACACCCTTGGGCCCTCCCCTTTCCTTCGTTCCACCCTTACTTTTCTATCCTCCTTTCTTCACCACTTTGTTCTACACACTCTCTCTTCCCCCTTCCTTCCATTTCCTTATTTAGGGCTAAGTCAGCCGTTAAACGACAGACAGCCCTCTAATTCCTTTATTAAAAGTAAAGATCTCACATGATCCTTCTGATGATCATGTGAAATCTTTACTTTACTTTTAATAAAGAAAGGAAGGATGATCATACTTCTTTTGACATTTAAGAGCAGTCACGAGCAAACCTAACTCCCCAACCATGCATACAAGGTCCTAATGTGTGGTCCTGGGGCTTTGGCAATGTCAGTTTATTTTCTATTTCATGCAATATTAATAAAACGATAGTTGTCACAAAGAATGTACAAACTAAACTTGACCAGTGAAAAGATGAAAATAAACTATTTATTATTAGTTTTCATATCCTTAGCATATTTTATACTTAGTAAACTTAAAATTATGGAGCTGGCCTTATTGGACTTATGGAGCCTATGAAATTCTCAAGGCCCACATACAGAAAAGTTGTTCATCGCTGTTTTAGAAGATATAGCTTACACTAAATTAATCAAATCTATGGCTACAATATTTTATTAACTTTCCTATCTAATTTTATTTAAATTTTTAATTAAAATAAAAAATAATAATGGATGATGATAATAATTCATTCATTCTCACATTCAAAAATAGTCTTACCTTGCAATTCCTCCATAGTCAAGTCCTTCTTCACCACGAAATGTAATGAATAATCTACGACGTAATTCATGTGGTGGTACCCTCATAATCTACAATATTTCAGAAAAATATTTAATTAATAAAATTTAAACATAACATTTTAAAAAATAATTGTTAATATTTAATTCATAACATACATTTTTCAGAAAGTTTTTCATTCAAGTTCAATGGTACATACTAACTTAATTGTGGAAATAAGTGAAAACCAACACACAATTGTAAATTTAAATTCTTGCTTTTGAGTGGCTGCATAAATAATTCTTAATATTGTATATTATTCTTTTTAGAAATGCATCATCATTATATATTAAATGTTTTTGAGACATTCCCATTTTGAACAATGTTTGATTGTTCAATATTGTTCAAAACAGTAGTTATTAATTTAAAGTGTATTTAGGCTTCAGATCTGAAGATAAGATGCTATTTGTCTCAAAGAGCATTTAATCCATTATAAAAACAGTCTTCTTAAAATTAATAGTATACAATATTAAGAATAAGTATAGTAAATTTAATAAATGAAAAACTATTTGTTTNTTTAAAACTGCACCATTCATTTATAAACACCCTGTATATATATATATACATACATTATGGAAAACTTATTTTAGATATAAATCTAGAAGCCAAATTTATTTTTATTGCTACTATTAAATTCAAACTGAATAAATAAAGCAACACTAAAACTACAAAATGCTTAGTATTTAACACTCTATTTTTAAAAATGTTTTACCTCCTTTTCTGTTTGATGTTATCATATTTCTGTCTATTTTCTTCACTTGAACAAACATTATATGTATAATATGTATTGTCATACTATATTAAACTATGAATTGTTTATAAACAGATTTTAGTAAAGTAACTATCAATCAAATTGTTAAATTTATTATTGAAAACATTTAATACAATTAATATTTTTAATATTTGAGATAAAATATTATCTTAAACTTCTGATTCAGTAATAGAAATAAAGGTAACTTTTAAAAATACACATAAGATACAGGAAAAAAATTTAAAAAATATTACACACATGCAAACTTAACCTTAACTTAAAATATAATCTATGTTATATAATATGCTTAAACTTCTGTATACTTTAATATAAACAATAACCAAGAACTGGAGAGAGGGGGAAAAATTCTACACGCAGCTTTATTACAATATGCAAATAAATTGAATTAAAAAACTCTCCTAAAAATGACTCTTGCTATTACTCAACATTAACATCATGTCTTTGAACCTACTAACCAAAACATAAATATTTAATTTAAAAATCTTTTTAATCATCCATCCTCAATCTCTCTAAGGATAAATCATTACAAAGATTTTGCTAATTTGTTTTATAAATCAAATTTTCTTTTATGCAATATAAAAAAAATAATTATTTATATGAGGGCGGTTTTTCCAAGCTCCAATGATCCATAAAACAAAGACAAGTGTAAATAACAATGAATTTATTACCAAAAGTTAGGAACAAACATGGTTACTTTTGACATATCACTGTGAAGATTGAGGAATTTTTCATATCTGTTAACAAGCTTTTCCATCTCCTTGTCATAGAATGTTGCTGCCAGTGAATTGAGATGGCCTTAACAATGTTGTTTTGAAGGTTGTCATTAGTCTCAAACCTCTGCCCTGCTAGCAATGTTTTCAGTTCAAGAAAGAGGTGGAAGTCTTCACATATTAAAAAGTTCCAAGCTGGGTGGAAATCTTCACTGCCTTTAAACACCCAGCATATAGCCCTGATTTAGCGCCGAGTGACTTCCACCTCTTTCCTGAACAGAAAAAATGGCTAGGAGAGCAGAGGTTCAAGACTAATAACGATCTTCAAAACAACGTTAGGGCCCATCTCAAGTCATTGGTGGCAACATTCTATGAAGAGGGGATTGCAAAGCTCGTTCATAGATATGACAAATGCCTCAATCTTAATGGCAATTATATCAAAAAGTAACCATGTTTGTACCTAATAAATTCATTTTGTTATTTACACTTGTCTTTTTTTTATGGACCATTGGAACTTGGAAAAAAAAAACAGCCTATGTATTTCTAAAGAGATGTTTTAAGAAATTAAAAAGACATGTAAAAATTTATAATAAAAGTTTAGTTTTAAAAAATTCAATTTTACTTACCCATTAATTCAGCAAAGCCTCCCACTGGAACTCTACATGTTCCAGTAACAAACTGTAATAATCTTGCCCTTTTTTCATTATCCATTTCTCTCACAAACTGCCAAAACCATATTATTTGTTTACTATTGCGAGTGTAATGTCTATATATTGTGTTTCTCTGCCAATCTTCAATATCTATTTCTTGCATTCCACATAACATTAACTGAAAAAAGTTTAGAATATACATATATAAAATTAGTTTGAATTAAATATTACATTTCAATTATTTCCGTACACATATATCTTGTAAAATAAATAAAAATATACTGATTAAAAACATTAATGCTCAAAATTATTTTAATGTTTTAAGTGTTTGTAAGATGTATTTTCTAAAGAAATTATTTGTAAAAATATAGAAAGATAGTAAACTGCTTTAAATTTCATTCTAAAAATGTATCTTAAAAATGCATATAAAATTAACCTCCAATTCTCTTTCATCAAAATAATGTAGCCACTCTAAAGGAAGGACCTCATTAAAACCATCTAAGAAACCTTTAGTTTGTTCTTCTTGTCCTCTGGAGAACCTCCAGTCAGTCATCAATCTAAAATATAAGATTAAATTTGAAATAAAATTAAATCAGATAAAAAATTTTTTTCAATACTATAGTACTATACTTATTTCTAAAATATTCTATATTCTATAAATAACATATTTATAAAATTTTACTATTATGTAAAATTTAAACTAATAAATTTTATTTCAATCAAATAGTGTTTTCCAAATTTTTATTAAAATTCTATGTCCAGATTTATGTAATAAAATTTCAAATCATGTTAAAGATAATTTTTACTTTTTAAAGAAACTAGTTTTTATTTCTTCAACTTATCATCATCATCAGTGCAAAAATTCATGTACTGTAAATTATATACTTAATTTTCTTATGCAGTTTTGTAAATCATCACCACTAATTCAATTTTACATTATAAAATTAATTTTTGAAGCATCTGTAAAAAATTAAATAATGAAATATTTAATAAAGTACTATTACTTTTTTCTTTTTTCAAAATACCTTAAATATTCATCTTTGTTTTCTTCATTAACTTGAATTTTTCCTCCACCAGGTTTCAATTCATGAGACTGTATTTGGCCTAATATTTCAAAATCAACACTAAAAAAGAGTTCAAGATCACATTCTTCTATATTATTCTCCCTGAAAAACAAGAAATTATAAAATTAAAACAAAATTTGCATTTTTTAAATACTCACTGTTGTTTGTAAATAATATTTACAAACAATATCAAATATATATCAAATATATCAAATATACAAACGATATTGTTTGTAAATAAATTAATATTTCACTGACTTTATGCAAGATACTAATCAACAATATAAAAAATAAATTTATATCCATTTGACTATGACTTTTTAATTATTATTATTATTTTGAAAATGTGACTAAATTTTTTATGATGTTTTAAAATATATTTTGCCATTAATATTTTTTTTATTTCATAATAAATCTACAAAAAATAATGTTTGAAAAATGATGGTAAAACTCCTAGTTAACTATTTAATCAAGACAATTCAGAAAAAAAAATTTAAATGCAGTTTATGCAAATTCCTGTGAAAAAATGAGAGAATATTTTAATTTAATAATAACCCAAAATTTTAGCTATTAAATATAGTTAAAAAGAGTTTTGAAATATAAACAGATTTTCTTTTTCATTCTTTTTAAGACTGTTTCAATTTCAGTTTTTTATAAAAATCATGTTCAGGGAGAGACCAACTTGTCCCTATTGCAAGCACATAGCAATTAAGTAGACAATGATTTAACATGTGACTGAACTGATAAAAAAACAAAGTAAACAAGTTCCAACTTCACTTTTAAAACACAGGTTCCTTGTATTTTGGCAAATTTCCCCAATTAATGTCCACAGGCTTAGCTGAGATGCTACTCCATTTTATTGTAACATTTTTTTTTTGCAGCTATTGCTGTAATATTATTTTTTATACTACAAATTTCCTGGGACTACTTTAATTTGTTCATTCATGCAATCAGACATATTCTGCACCCTTGCTTATAGGGTATGTTACATTCAGTTCACTGGTTTCAACCAATCAAAATAAACATGTAATTGAATTTAAAAATTTTACAATTAGTCAAAAAATTTTATGAATAATAATTATAAAATAATCCAGCATAAAGTTGCTTAACTTTCCCAGCAACATTTAAAACAGATGGATGTGATGATCACATCCATCTGTTATGATATTTTATAAAAAAACTTTATATTTTTAATTATTATAAAATGTCAAAAAGCTTAATTTTGAGGGTAGGGATGTGTTTTATAAAAAATTGTAAATGCTAATAATGAGTAAAATCATCATTAAGTCCAACCTTACTCGAGATATGGCAAGACTCCCTTTTATCTCCCACTCCCTTGACTTTTAATCAACAAAATTTAATAACATCAATCTCCCTAATACACAAAATACCTGAAAAATTTCAGAAATTTTTAACAAAAAGCACAAAAGTTATTAAACTTCAAAAAAGGTGACAAAATCATGCTCCAAATCCACCCACTAACACCCCACATACAGAAAAAACATCAAATTGTGTTGCATTTCTCAATGTTTTACGGTCCAAGTCCAAAAACAAATCTTTGGGTATCATTTTTTTGACTGATCAGTTATTTTCCCTCTGTTATATATAACAGCACCAAGAGAGTAAAAATGCAATGGGATATAACAAAATCCATATGTTTGTTTCTTGGAGGAAATGTGTTCAAAATGCCTTGCATTATAGAAATTAAATTTCTACTTTTCTTTCTTTCTCACCACTAAGGAAACCTTTACTTTACACAACATTTACCTTTTACTTGCAAGATAATAAAAATTTTGTATTTGAAAATTTGAAAATTAGATGTTAGTAAATTAATTTAAAATTATTAATTTAAAAAAATTCTTTAATCTAAATCTGTCATAAATTTAACTTTGAATATTAAAGTAAATGGTGCCACTTGTATGTCGAAACACACTACAGATGATGCTTCCGTCATTAGATTCAACAGGCCCGCAATTAAGCTATTGGTGAATTAAAGCATATTTAACAATTGTATTATTATTTGTATGTTAGATACTTCTGTGAGGCCCAAGCAATACTCAAACTCACATGTTAAAAATATCATAAACGTGTCAAATCAAGATATCAGGCTTTGATTCTAACGCTCATAAAAATTGGAGGAAAAACCTAAATAAAATCGGGAAATAATAAAATTATTAATCAAGAGAGAAAAAAAGTTTTTAACTAACCTTAAAAGGAGATGCAGCACTAATATTATGTGTCAGACTTATAAGGATTCAAAACAATTAAATACAAGCAGGAGTTTCAAGGTGCGATTAATTTAACTTGATCGGATTAAAACACAGTGTCAAATTAAATCGTTGGTAGTCCAAAATAGTCTTTCATCTGTTTGGATACAGGAAACTGACCAATCAAAAGCTAGAGATCTGGGAAAGAGAATCTTTTAAAAACCTGGATCTCAAGGACAAAGGCAGACTTTTTCCCTGCTTCCCCTAGTGAAGTTAACTGTAGAGACTTCTTCCAGATTTCTCCCAGCCTCTGATAGTATCAATTACTGTCCAGACTTTCCCCAGCTAACAACTATAGTCAACTGTCCAGACTTTTCCCTACCTCCACAAGTGGACACCATCCTGTTTGAACTTCGGGCTATCACCCTTCGTCACAACCCACACCATCGAGCATTGACTGACTGCCCTGGAGCCAACAACTGAACAGTCCAGAGCCACCAGAAGACAAGACACACTAGATTCTAAGACTTAGTATAAATAAATGGGCTTGTTTGTCACTGTAGCTATTTGTCTCACTTTCCTTCATCCCACATATGATAAGTCCTCACATTTAGATATCACCAATTCGACGACCTTCACACTTCTTAGGTTATTGTTTTAAATGATTTTCTAGCTTTAGGTTAAGTTTTATCATTTTTATGGTTTTCATTATATTGTCAAACATTATATCATGATTTCAGTTTGTTCTGTTATTGATAAATCGATGCCCACTGTATATAAAGCTATAAATAACTTAGCACGTATAGAGAACGCAATAAGAGGACTTGATCCAAGACTAGAACAATTATATCTCATATCTGCATTGGCACATTCATACATCACTAGACTCAATGGATTTTATTGTGGAACCACAAATTCCACAAAATACAAGTTGGGAACCCCTGCTCTAACCATTTTGCAAATGCAGGAATTTCAAAACAGATTATATATTGCTTTCTCTAACATTTCAACAGTGGAGTACATCACAGAGAAGAAAGGGGTCTGGTAAAACAGCAAAAATTCTAACGAAAATCAAGTTGAAAGAATCAAGGATCACCAACTGCAGTTCATTTTAATGGAGTACAAACCGACCAGGTCAACAAATTCAAATATCTTGGCTCAATATTGCAATTAAAAAAAGACTGCTTCCACTGCAGAAATCAACAGCATAGGTTTACAGGAAATAATATTTGGCCAGTTCAACTTTTACCTATGGAAAAGAAAAAAATCTCTCTCCTGGCACAAAGTTGTGCCTATACAGGGTTCTAATTTTACCCATATTTCTCTATGGTGCTGAAACATGGACTATGCTGAAACCAGATGAGAATAAACTAGAGGCATTCCAGATGTACTGTTTGAGAAAAATTCTGTAAGTAATCCTACCACACCACATATGTAATGAAAACATCAGGAAGTGCTGTTTAAATAAGTCAACTATATCATCAATCATTTGACTACAGACTACAATGGTTTAGACATATATCAGAATGGATCCATCTCATTTGCTATACGAGTTACTGTGAATAGAAAAACCTGATGACTAGAAGACAATGTAATGCACCCAAAAAAACCAGGCAAAAAATAATTGAATTAGACATACAGTGCCAAAGACTAATATTCTTGGAAACTCACACAGCTTCTGATCACCAACTATGGAGGAGCATTGTTAAAAATTCCTGTAAACCCATGGCAACTTACTGACTCTGTAGTCATATACTTCCAGTGGCAAACTAATAGGATATATATCCCATTAGCTTGCCACTGGAAGTATATATATATATATATATGATAAGATAAAGCAATGACAAGTTTTAATTCAATATGTAGTACTAAAATTAAAAATTTCATGTAGTCGGCTCCATCAGACTTTGAAAACAAACACATTCAATGTCAACAGAAGCAAGTAATTCCAAACAGAATAGACATGCGAAAAATGTAGCATGGAAGGTTACTGTGAAAGTTCTCTGAAAAGTTCTTTATTTTGGATAAAAAATCTTACTTCATCCTCTTATGGTAATGTTGGATTTTATACCAATATTGCCTCTACACCTACAAATGTAGTTTTCCAAGAAAAAGAACTTGAAGGTAAAGTTCTGGTTTGGATTGTAATGGGACCAAAGGATTAAGTCAAATCCTAATCAGAAAATCAAGTTTTATCATCAACACCCAGCAATATTTCAATAAATATACATGATGTTTCCTGATTCCTAACATTCAAAAGAACTGTTTTCCTGCAGAATGCATCTTATAGCCAGATTAAGACTATGTTGGATAACCTGCAACAAAAAAAAAAATGTCCTTTTCATTGAAAAAGAAGATAACTCTGAAAATGTGCCCCCAATTGAGGAATTGAGGATTTTTGGACAATCCTCAAGGTAGTTGTTTACAAAAAAAGTAAAAGAAAAAAAAGGCTAGTCTAATCACTGATCAACTGCATAAAGTAATATCTGAAAATTTGAAGTCTTGTACAGAAACTTGCACTGCACACCTGAACTTGAATCACCCGTGTTCAACAATGGGAACTTGTAGAATTACAAAAATAAATGTCCAGTTTTCATCATCTTTCAAAAGAAAACTCTATGAAGAAGTTCATAGAGTTTTCTTTTTTTTCCAAAATAAAAACTACATTGCACAAACTTGTTTGGAATTTTTTCCAGACAAACACCCATCATTATGCATTATTGTTGTTGATATTTCTTTCAATACCAAAAATTCCAAATATATATATATTATTCTGTTCATAAAATTACATGTTATATTAAATTCACGTATTTTAAATCAACAATTTATTTTAAAATGATTATAGCATTAGAGAAGTGTTATTAGACAAAATCATCAAATTTATGTAACATATTTTTTATGATCTCATTAAAAATTGTTAATGAAATTAAAATATGTAAAAACATATAACAGAAAATACTTACTTAATCCAAACTAACGAATTGTAAAATTCAGGATCAATTGTTTCTATATCTTTCATAGTTAACTTTTTGCCTAACATTCGCTTATAGAAAGGTAATGTAAATCCACTGTATATAAATTTTCCATGAAATAATGCCTAAAAGAATTGTCATTATTGTAAATTTTATAAAATAAATAAATATATAATAAAATTTGAAATTTACTTACCATAGCAATAAATCGACCAATAAACCTAAAATATAATAAATGATCTGGATTGACAGAAGAGGCAGGATTGATTTGAAGACTGTAATTATTTTTGCCTGCATATTCAAAAAGGCAATACATAGGATTAAGTACCTCATGTGAGAGAAGGAAAAACCATTCCCTGAAATAAAAATAATTAGATTAATACTTCAAACAAATTTTAATTGAAATCATTCATATTATAATTTCCAGCATAATTTTTCCAAGTATGATTTTCAACATTACTAACAAAAAAAAAAAAAAAAAATCAATACAACTATATTACAGAATTCAAATAAAACAATATTTTTAATCTTAAATTTTGTGTTCATGAAATCAAATTTTTCATTTTTATGTGCAGAATCAAAAATCGAATTACAGTAAGACCCCGCTTAACGCTGATTCGATATAACACAGTCTACTCGAAGCATAGAAAAACCTCAAAGTTCATATTGATTTTAAATTATTGCAGAATTTTATTGATTCATACATAATACGATTATTTACGAACATGAATCAATCAGAAAAAAGTGGCAAAAAAATGTACTTTCTTTAAATCTATGTTTGTTTGGTGCAATTTTGGAAAAAATATAACATCATGGATGCCATAGGCAATATCGGCTTTGCTTGGCAAAAATTAACTGATAAATGCACGAAGTGTGGAAGAAGATATGGCTGAAGGTATCCAAGAATTCTCAATGAGAAGAGCCTATTGCTGTATCTTTAGGTTGATCAAACTCATCCTAATTGATACAGCAGGACTAGGAGATGTAGACGAACAGGATATTGAGGAGTTACCGCAGGTTTCTGGTGAGATCTTGTCAACGATGACCTTCAAGAACTGACAAAACAAGGAATCCATCCATGTAGAACTGGAAAATAGTGATTCTGAAAACAAAGAACCCAAAAAATATCTCTATAGATTTCGTTAGTAAAAGTTTGGGAACGATAACTGAAATTGTTGATCAAATTGTAGCGATGATCTAGATTTTGAAAAGAATGCAAAAGCAAAACGAGGCATTTTGGATGCGATCTTCTGCTACCAACATTTGCTTAAGGAAAGAAAAAAGCGACAAATGAAACTTTACGACTTTATTGCAAAAAAACAAGAATTTCAGAAAAGTCAGAACCTTCATCACAAAAATGAACTATTAATATACACAAGAAATGTATAATAATATATGTTTATGTGTTATTTAACATATACTATTATACAAATTAATATAAAAATAACTTAAAATTAAAGTAAGATTTTTTTTATTTTTGGCCAAGTGTTCCCCTATCCCTATTTACTCTATGTTAAGACAACCTAGTTTAATGCTGTTTTGTTTAGCGCTTTGTTGTCTAGGAACGCATTCCCCATGTTAAGCAGAGTCTTACTGTATATATATAGCATATATAAAAGGCAAAATTTAATCAGACATTGGTATTATGTAAATAAGAAGCCTCAAATACTCCCAGATCTTAGATATGTCATTAAACATGAAACTGAAATAATTCCAGACAACATGTTTATGTTAACAATACAGAAATTTGTGTTACAAATTCACCATGTAGTAGTAGTGAATGGCCATGTTATTCACTGATTTCCTTTTGTCCACTCATAACGGTAATGTAATGTGTTTTACTTCTAACAACATAAATAAAGTTATTGCAGATATAAGTTGTAGATACCCATTTAAACACCCTTTAATTTCAAATCTATAAAGAACTATTACTGATTATATTAATATCAAGATAATGTATCAAAATTTTATAAATTTACATAAGCAATATATAATCAAGTCAATTCAGAGAGAGTTTTTAAATGAAAGTTATTAATTTGTAAATTTTCTGTGTGGTAAACAAATATTTCATTTTAATTTAAGCTGGCATGAAATTTCATCCATTAAATAGTGCTGAAGAGTGTTTTGAAAAACAGATTTTCTTTTTTGATTCTTTTTTAGGCTATGTTACAATTTCAGTTTTTTATAAAAATTAAAACCGTGGTTTGGTAAATAAGACCAACTTATTTCTGCTGCAAGCACATAACCATGTAAGTAGATAGCAATGTAACATGCAATGAACTAAACAGAAACAAAGTAATCATCATTCCAATTTCACTTTTAAAACACAGGATCCTCATATTATGGCAAATTTTCCCAAGTAATGTCTATGGAAGCCCATAGAAATTAATTGGGATGCAGAGATGCTAATCCATTTTACTGAATGTTTTTGCAGCTATTGTCACGTTATTATTTTTATATCACAAATTTCCTGAATCTCATTTGTGCAACCAGACATATTCTGCATCTCCAGCATTTCCATTGTTTCAAATAGCACTGAGGATGACAATATATGGGAAGATGTAAGCATTAAATCTAACATTGAATCAGAAGATCCCAATACTGAAAGTAAAAAGTTTCTAACTCCACTATCATGGAAAAAGAGTGATATATATCTTACTTTACTGTGCAATAAATACTGATTCTATTGTCATAAATTTGTTTCAAGTTGAAAAAAAAAATCCATTGGTGAGCATGTAGAAATTAAGACGAGTCTTAGATTTGATGGTTTCTTATATTCAAGTAAATATGGTACAGGTAGACCTCTTACAATGCGGTTTACGGTATTTAGAAACAAATTATCTTTCACATAACAGAAAAATCGCAACGGATCACGTGATACGAGCCGCAGTTCGGCATACAGAGCTAAATGTCCTTGAAAACAGCTGTTTGTCCACGTTGGCATGTTATTCCTTTGAAAGTTTCAGGGGAAGACTGGTTTCTAGACAGATGTGCATCAGTTACTGTAAACATTCAAATATATCACTAAATTTTTGATCATTTATACTCTTTCAATAAGTGGGGACTGCAAAAAAATAGTCCAAAATATAGTATAAACTTCTATTGGGTGTATATTTTTAACAACATAGTGAAGGAAAGTTATTTTTTGCGATTTTTACTATCCACAAAACTGATTGAAAAAATTTTAGCCATAACAATTCCGAATGAAAAGAAAGGACCGTCGTTAAAAAGGAAATTTATAACTCTTCAAACAAAGATAGAAATTTTGGATTGAATTAAAAATCAAGAGTGGATAGCTGATATTAGTAGGCATTTTAATTTAAACGAGTTGACTATTCGGTTGATTAAGCAATCGGGAGAAAACATTAGGAATTTGGTCGCATCCAGATCACCTATTCTTGCTTTTTATTATGAGTAGAAGATATGAACAAGAAATAGTTGTCTTTAAATAAAACTGCCTTAAAAATATTTGATTATTTAAAACAAATGAAATAGTTTTCAACTGACGAAACCAGTGTTAAATTTGTGGCTAGCAATGGCTGGTTTGAAAAATTCAAAAAACGCCATTCAAACACCAAGTTTTTCTCATTTTAGAACCAAATCCCAGTTTTTGTATTAAGTTGGTGTCTCTTATAACACGATTTCCCAAAACATGGTATTTTCAAGGAACGTATCTACTGCCTTGTAGGAGGCCTACCTGTATAATTCTTTATCAACTAAATTTGCAACTGTTTTAAGTAATCTTGAAACAAACGAATCTTCATTCACATTACCAGTAGCAGCGAGGGCAATNACCTGTATAATTCTTTATCAACTAATTTTATTTAAATTTTTAATTAAAATAAAAAATAATAATGGATGATGATAATAATTCATTCATTCTCACATTCAAAAATAGTCTTACCTTGCAATTCCTCCATAGTCAAGTCCTTCTTCACCACGAAATGTAATGAATAATCTACGACGTAATTCATGTGGTGGTACCCTCATAATCTACAATATTTCAGAAAAATATTTAATTAATAAAATTTAAACATAACATTTTAAAAAATAATTGTTAATATTTAATTCATAACATACATTTTTCAGAAAGTTTTTCATTCAAGTTCAATGGTACATACTAACTTAATTGTGGAAATAAGTGAAAACCAACACACAATTGTAAATTTAAATTCTTGCTTTTGAGTGGCTGCATAAATAATTCTTAATATTGTATATTATTCTTTTTAGAAATGCATCATCATTATATATTAAATGTTTTTGAGACATTCCCATTTTGAACAATGTTTGATTGTTCAATATTGTTCAAAACAGTAGTTATTAATTTAAAGTGTATTTAGGCTTCAGATCTGAAGATAAGATGCTATTTGTCTCAAAGAGCATTTAATCCATTATAAAAACAGTCTTCTTAAAATTAATAGTATACAATATTAAGAATAAGAATAGTAAATTTAATAAATGAAAAACTATTTGTTTTTATAATATATAGTTCTCTACTTTATCAAGCAAAAAATCCTATACAAAGTGAGATTTACTTTCAGATAAATTTCTGAAGAATATATATTTTTTTCTATTGCTTGTATTACTGAATAAATAATTTAGCATGTACAGAAAATTTTTATGAACTAAATTTTTGAAAATATTCTCTTTAATTGTGATTTAATGAAAGAATATAACCAATACTAGATAATGAACAAAGAATATAATCAACAAGAATAAATCATTGTAATGGCAACGGTAACTGGACTAGAAAATTCAATGTTTTTCATTCATAACCTGTTGATGTATATGTGAAATGTCTTTTATAAGAAAGCATAGAGCAATATACATCTATCTTGTTTTGTAAAATGTAAAATGAAATTTATTTATTGTGACATCATCACAATGCCAGGCTGCAATTTTTAACCATTTTTAATTTTAAAAACATACTGGAAGTTCATATATAGTTGATCAGGGTCTCCAACCCCTAAGCTTTCTATATCTAGCCTGAATTTTGGTGGTGTCTTGTCTCAGTATACAAGTAGACCCCCCTATAACACTGTTGATATTTCCGTTTTATATGAATTCCATGTTGTACGAGTCACTTAGATTTTACAAATACGTCAGCCGTTCACAGCCTGGCACACGTATTTGTAAAATCTAAGTGACTCGTACAACATGGAATTCATATAAAATGGAATTATCAACATTGTTATAGGGGGGTCTACTGGTATAATACTACTCCTGACAACAATCAAGTCATGCCAATCTAACTAACTTCTGTACTTGATAAAATTTTGAATGTGATTTCAGGTCTAAACCGGAAGTTCAAATATGAACTCTGATCCTCTGGTCTCAATTTTCATCTATCCAATTCCATTCTCAAGATCAATGAAAAACAAATAAATAGTGGGAATGTACTGTTAAGTCTGCAATTTTAAAATAACAGCCCAATCAAAATATATCCATCAAAAAATAGAAATTATTTCTTACATTTATATCTTTTGATACATTTCTTAGAAATGAATTAATTCAGTTATGGCTTATCCCAAAATATGGAATACAAAATTAAAAAATAATCAAAGAAACAATTTTCTTTTTAAACTCTCACACACAGGGAAAATTCATGATATTTCAGGACAATGTTATCAAGTGTAAAAAACACTATGATTGCATGTTATCACACTCACTTGCTCACTAACATCTCATGCTGGAAAATTTACTTACATCTGTACTGCCATTGCCTTATAGATAAAATTTGTAGCTTTTTCCAACATAACAGTTGTTCTACCCATGTTATTCAAATAACATTAGTGCCATAAAACATTTTCCTAACAATCAGTTATTCTAAATAAAATAAAGATGTTGATTACCAAGAAAAGAAACTAATATGAATTCTAAGCCATCTAATCAGAAAACACAGGAATTTCAATCTTGTTGCATCATAATTTGAATATTTTATTCTCAAATATTGCATGATGCTTGTTATATCAGATATTTTGTCATATAAATGGAGACAAAATGGAAAAAAAACAGCTTGCATCAAATTAATTTATTTAGTACTCATAAATAAAGATTATATTTTATTCTATATGAGAGAGAGAGAGAGAGGAGGAAATTTATTTCAATTCTTACTTGGCTAAACGAATCTTCAAATATATTCTGTCGAGAAACTGTTATCTTGATATGACTTGGCAGTGCATTGCACTAAAATAAAAATTTAAATTTAATACCTAAATACTTTCTATTTTTAATTAACATTCGAGTTTAAGCGCGAATAAATATAAAGTTTTAACGTTGTTTTTTTTAATAAATCGGGATAATAAAAATTTAAATTTAATCGCTAAATACTTTCTATTTTTAATTAACATTCGAGTTTAAGCGCGAATAAATATAAAGTTTTAACGTTGTTTTTTTTAATAAATATTGACAAAAAAGTTAGCGAAGGAAGTGTTAAAGAAAACATTTAACACGTCTTCATATNGATGTAAGTAAATTTTCCAGCATGAGATGTTAGTGAGCAAGTGAGTGTGATAACATGCAATCATAGTGTTTTTTACACTTGATAACATTGTCCTGAAATATCATGAATTTTCCCTGTGTGTGAGAGTTTAAAAAGAAAATTGTTTCTTTGATTATTTTTTAATTTTGTATTCCATATTTTGGGATAAGCCATAACTGAATTAATTCATTTCTAAGAAATGTATCAAAAGATATAAATGTAAGAAATAATTTCTATTTTTTGATGGATATATTTTGATTGGGCTGTTATTTTAAAATTGCAGACTTAACAGTACATTCCCACTATTTATTTGTTTTTCATTGATCTTGAGAATGGAATTGGATAGATGAAAATTGAGACCAGAGGATCAGAGTTCATATTTGAACTTCCGGTTTAGACCTGAAATCACATTCAAAATTTTATCAAGTACAGAAGTTAGTTAGATTGGCATGACTTGATTGTTGTCAGGAGTAGTATTATACCAGTAGACCCCCCTATAACAATGTTGATATTTCCGTTTTATATGAATTCCATGTTGTACGAGTCACTTAGATTTTACAAATACGTCAGCCGTTCACAGCCTGGCACACGTATTTGTAAAATCTAAGTGACTCGTACAACATGGAATTCATATAAAATGGAATTATCAACATTGTTATAGGGGGGTCTACTGGTATAATACTACTCCTGACAACAATCAAGTCATGCCAATCTAACTAACTTCTGTACTTGATAAAATTTTGAATGTGATTTCAGGTCTAAACCGGAAGTTCAAATATGAACTCTGATCCTCTGGTCTCAATTTTCATCTATCCAATTCCATTCTCAAGATCAATGAAAAACAAATAAATAGTGGGAATGTACTGTTAAGTCTGCAATTTTAAAATAACAGCCCAATCAAAATATATCCATCAAAAAATAGAAATTATTTCTTACATTTATATCTTTTGATACATTTCTTAGAAATGAATTAATTCAGTTATGGCTTATCCCAAAATATGGAATACAAAATTAAAAAATAATCAAAGAAACAATTTTCTTTTTAAACTCTCACACACAGGGAAAATTCATGATATTTCAGGACAATGTTATCAAGTGTAAAAAACACTATGATTGCATGTTATCACACTCACTTGCTCACTAACATCTCATGCTGGAAAATTTACTTACATCTGTACTGCCATTGCCTTATAGATAAAATTTGTAGCTTTTTCCAACATAACAGTTGTTCTACCCATGTTATTCAAATAACATTAGTGCCATAAAACATTTTCCTAACAATCAGTTATTCTAAATAAAATAAAGATGTTGATTACCAAGAAAAGAAACTAATATGAATTCTAAGCCATCTAATCAGAAAACACAGGAATTTCAATCTTGTTGCATCATAATTTGAATATTTTATTCTCAAATATTGCATGATGCTTGTTATATCAGATATTTTGTCATATAAATGGAGACAAAATGGAAAAAAAACAGCTTGCATCAAATTAATTTATTTAGTACTCATAAATAAAGATTATATTTTATTCTATATGAGAGAGAGAGAGAGAGGAGGAAATTTATTTCAATTCTTACTTGGCTAAACGAATCTTCAAATATATTCTGTCGAGAAACTGTTATCTTGATATGACTTGGCAGTGCATTGCACTAAAATAAAAATTTAAATTTAATACATAATTAATATAGTCAAAATCAATTATAATTAAATTCATAAAAAAAAAAAGAGTTTTAAAACTTATCACAGTTAAGCAAAATAGACATTTTATTATGATTTTTGTGAATAAAAACTTCATTTTACTTTTAGGAGCTTTGAATGATAATTATTTTTTATGTAATATTTCTTTTCTCTAATATTAATCATGTTTATGAAAATACCAGTTGTTCTTAAAATTTTGAAAATTCATAAAAATTACTTCAATGATAAATATGTATATGTGTATGTGTATAATATATAAGTTATGGACTAAGTGATTAATATGGGCATTATACATAACAAACAAAATTGGGCAATGTAATAAATTTTATATATTTTTTTATCATAATTTATCAGATTGACCAGTCATTATGAATACTGCTATCACTTGGTCGAGCAAAGTGATGATAATACCCTGAGAAGTGATCATCTGACTTACACTAACCAATCAGCACTCGTGGCTGGTTTGCACGTGCAAATTGCATTTAGTATCGAATTTTCAAAATTCATATAACCAATAGTTAATTTTGTGAGAGATTTTAATTTTACTTTTGCCTCTTAACTTTAAAAATGAAATGGACTGATTGAAAATGTGTTAGACTAGTTTTGCTATACAAGTTTCCCTTATAGCCTGAGGGGTAAAAACAATTTAGTCATTAGCAAAAGAGATGGAGCGAGTTTTCAGAGCTTAAAGAGTTAATTGATACAGTTAATAATACTTAATTTTAAAAGATTGCACATTGTTTTTAAATACATTGAAATAATTCACAACAAATAAATAATTCTTAATGAAAGAAGTGGAGTTTTTTTTAAATCACATTGCCCAAAGAAAATGTAGCTGTATTCACATGTCTGGTCAATTTAATAAATCAATCAATATCTAATCAGGCTGCACAGCCATTTTAGTCATTATAAATAGTGCCCAGTCATTAATCACTTTGTCCATAACATATATATATATATATATTATATTTTATAATATAAAATTCAAATCTTTAAAATCCTTATGATAAATAATAATAATATTTATTGAGTTAGAGATAAATGTAAAGATTACAGTTTTTTCATTTTAAATAAAAAAGAGCATTTATGTTAAATTAAATTACTTTCTTTTAATATTTATCAACTTACATGGCACAAATAACGAAACTGAGTCAATTTCCATTTAAAATTTCTTTCATATGCTACTGGAACACCATATGCACCATTTGGGCTGCAATACAATAAACATCTAATATTAATTGTACATTTTGTTTAGATAGTATCATAGTATTCAAAAACTATTTTAAGACAAAAAAAATATGCCTTTTATTAACTGTTTAACTAGAGAAAGTCTTCAAACAATACAAACAATGCATTATTTATTTATACACAACCAATTATTAACAACTTTTGTACTGTGTAATATTTGCTGATGTTACTTAAAAGTTATTACTAAACAATGTTATATATGTGATTTCATCTGCTTGGCTTTCTATGGAGCATTTTCACATGATGTAGTCATGACATTGCAAAGCCTAAATATTCATTCTGAGCATGTGCATTTTACATGCTGTCAAATCAGTGCTACACACAAAATTGTGTCATTCTACAGAATTTCTGCAATTATGCAACATCAAGGCCCTCACACAGAACTATCTCAGTGACAACATAATAGTATTGCCTAAAGTAACAAAAATTTAACTACAAACACCATGACAAATTGTAATGTGTGTATGTGGAAAGCAATTTGTAGTGAGTTAGTAAAATACATCTAAATTTTATGCAACTTGCTGCATACTAGCTGAAAATTTCACAAAATTCAAATAATGAAGTTCTGTTGGTAGGATGACAAAGTTCCAAATTCTGTTAGGACAAGTTCTAGTGTTACCATAATTTTGTGCATTACAGTAATTTCTAGAATGTTTTCAACTAGGATAATAAATCATCAGTATGATATCAAACATGGCAGATAAACAAAGGAACTGTCTAGGAGAGTTCTGGAGCATGGCAGTAAACTTTTCTGGGCCAGCATCCTTTTGCTCCATTTCGTTTATCTGGAAAACCCTATATATCATAATCAACAACCTGTGTAACCAATCTACTGTTAACTTATGGGATCTATGGATCACATTCTTTAAAGCAGTAGTGAAACAACATTGATGTTAAGAGCACTCTTTTCCTATCCTTCTTATCATCCTCCAAATATCTTTTATTACCTACAGTTTTGTATTTGTGCATTAGGATACACTATGTCTTAGTTTGGTTAGTTTTAATTTATAAAGATTCATGTACTATAACAATTTAATCTAACATTTAACTAAAGTTTTATTATTATTTATTGTTTTAATTACATTCATTGTATGTTACAATTTAAAACCTAGTTTAAGAAAAATTCAAATTTTGTACATTAAGGGATAACTATTTGAATTTTTGTATTCTGTTTTAAAATTGTTTCAAGAAATGAATAAATTTATAACTGTTTATGTTTGGCATTCAATCAAGCTAACCTGAAGACAGCAGTAATATGCTGTTAAAAGTACTGTCAAGCTTTTTCTAGTAATAAAAGAAAAATGCTGACAGACAGTTGTGAGGCCGCGGATTTTTGCGGGTCTTTTTAAAAAAAATTTTAATTTTCTTGTTAATTAACTTCGGAAAAAACCCAAAGATTTTGTACTAGATCGGATTACACCGATTGTATCACAACTCGCTGAGGAAGTTTACAGTTAGGTGTGAAAAATGCACCGTCATCGTCAACAAGAATCGATGACGTGTCAGCTCTCGCATGAAAAAGTATAAAAGCTCAAATCTCCGTAACCTCAGGGCGATTCGTCATAGGAAGTTGTACTTAGTAATAGTGTCACCGAAACTCCCAAGCCTCCATTCAGCGGACCCGATCCAGCTATAGAGAGAGGACCTCGAATAGAAGACACGGAAGACACCACATCCTGAACGTTCGCCAATTCGCCCTGCTACCGACAGGTATTTTGGGGTATATAGGATTTGTAAGCGCTCTCTCTCGAACTCGAGAATTCGTGCTCGAATTTATGTAAATAGTAGAGATAACCACTTTTAACCTCTTGTAGTGCTTAGTTGAGTATATAATAAATGCTTGTTTAGTTTTAAACCTGTTTCCTGTCATTTTAAGGACGCCTATCAACTTGCTCACCTCCCTCCCACTCGAACTGCCCTCCTAGCCATCCAACGACGCCGAGATCGGGTTTTATCAACCTGTTGCCGAGTAAGTGGTCAGTGGGAGATTGATCCCTGACCCGCGGTTTATCTCACACAGTTGTTTTCTTGTTAATTCATTAATAAAGCTATATAGTATTTCACAGCAGTAAACTAGATAACAGACTGATTAATCTTTATTACAATGCAGAAATTAAAATGCAAAACATTTAAAACATTTGAATAATTAAGCTATCATACCACTGTGAATATAACCTATCTTAAGTGTACAGGTTGATTAATTTAATTTGACAAGATTTCTCAACAAATACATAGTTAACACAATATACATAAAATGAAATATACAAATAATGTCAAAAGAAAGTCATAGCATAATTAACGATTTTTTTCATGATTTCATGCTTTCATGTTTTGTTTAGTGAAAGCCATACTTTTTTACATCATCTGTGTAGTATAAAGTTGAGAATTACAACAATTTGTCTCATCACCATCCACAACATTAACATCAACATGGTAATGGAGCAATTTCAATCATATGATGTGATATCAGTGAAAAAGCTCTATTGGTAATTGTAAAAATAAGATATAGAAAACCAAGAAATTTAAAAATAAAAGTTTTCTTAATATTATTTGATAAATAAAAATCATTCTAAATTATAAAATAAAGATGGTGTATGTTGATTAATATCAGAAAATTAAATAAATATTTATGTTAGATATTTGCATTTAGATAATGCATGTAAATATTAATAATCATAGATAAAATTAACTAGTGACTAAAACATTGAAAATGGCTTATAATTCAGTGTTACCATACTAATACTTAAAAAATAAAATAATTTAATTTAATAATATAATTTGGAAAATAAACAGATAACTATATTTGACTGTTTTGACTAAGTACACAATATCAAATTGTATTAGGAATTATAATATAAATTTTATTTCTATAAGAATTGTATATAAATTCATTAATATATTACCCTTTTCCAGCATATGATGGACGTGGATCAACAAATGTTGTAGTCTTTGAATTATGGTCAACAAAATAACGTAAACCTTCAGGTGTATATTTTATTTCCCAACCTGGAGGAAGAGGATCTTCTAGTCTATATTTTAAAATATCAATTTCATTAAATGTTAATTCTTTAAAACCATTCATTATTTAAGCCAATTTATTCATTTCAAACCACTGTAATTTCATTTGGATAACTCAAAGGCAACAGATAACCTGCACCAGAATAAATACCACAAAAAATTTTTATGGGAAAAATTAAAACTGTTGAAAACTTCCATCACAGAAGTGAATTTTTAAAATATAACATTTGTATGTAATTTAACTCTTTAAACATGAAGTTAGCCAAAATTGGCTTAAACCATTAGAGATAAAATTGGCCGATGGAAAAGTTGTTTGATGGTTTTTTTTTTATAAAAGTCCCCCTTTTAGCCTGAGGGGTAAAAACAACTTAAGTTTGCAGATAGACAGGAAATTTTCAGAGTTTAATGAGTTAAAATTTAACATTTTGTTTTTTCCCACCATTTCTTTCATTCCATTATCATTAGCAGTTCATTACCGATATAATTATAAAATAAGTAAAATAAAACAAATAAAATATCAAATATTTGAGACAGACTCTCCTAAACTATATAAGTTATGAAAATACAAATGGCCAATAAATGCCTGAATATTTTTATCATTTTACTTCATTTATATTTTACTTATAAAATAATATTAATAAAATATATAATAATAGTAATAATAAATCTAAAATAACATAAAACAAACTTTTAACACTAATAATAACCAATAACACATATGAAAATGTATGTGGTATACAAAGCATTTTCACATTTTTAAACATCCTGGATAAGTTCAGATAAAGGAAAGTTTCCAATGAGTTCATAATTACAAGTTAAAATCAACAGATAACTTGAATCATTTCACAACCCATACTTACTTCAAACTAACCTTATGTAGATAACCCATAAGGGTTATCTACATAAAATTACAGTAATTCAAAATCATGTAAACTGAATTTATATAAAATTTTTTTTATATAAATTCAGAATTTTATATAATTAATAGAATCAACAAGGCTAATGAACTTTCAGTATACAAGATAGACAATTATTAGCAAGACTGAAAACTTTTTTAACTTCAAATTTCATATTTAATTAATATAAACAATGACTTTTATATTAATTAACAAAATACAGCTAAAATCACATATAATGAATTGCCTCTGAAAATGTGGAAAATCCATTATATAGAAAATTTGTTAAATGGGAAATGGTACAGTTCTGGAAACTGTACCATTTCCCATTTAACAACATACTATAATATTTTATTCTCCATGAAAATATTCTTGAACTCTAATTCATAACAAAATAAAGTACAGTGATATCTTGTACTTTGAATGTTTCAGAGTTCAAATGCTAAATTCAACAAAAATTTGCCTCAGATTACAAACTTCAGAGTTTGAACTGTGCATGCACAGAAATGTGTTAGAACCAGGGCTGTGGAGTCAGAGTCGTGGAGTTTTGAAGTAAAAAAATCCGCCGACTGACTCCTTTTTACTTCCTAACTGGTTATGTATATAAAATGGAAAAGTAATGGAATCGTGTCAAATTTGACCCTCCAAGTTTTTTTTTTTTTTTTTAATGCTAATAACAACTAAAATATTCATTAAGAGATATGACACGTGACTACTTTCCTTTACTTAAGAACCAAAATTTAATAGTATTAATGCCCTTTATAGAAAAGAGCTGGCAGAATTACAATTTAATAAAAAGTAAAATACATCTGGATACGAGTCCTGATGATTGGGCATGGCAAGAAAAATTGGACTCGTATCCAGATGTATTTTACTTTTTATTAAAAAGTATTAATGCCCCTTTATGCACAAGCTACAGTGTCACATTTTGTTTCTTAAATTTACCCATTCTGAGATATTGTTTAATATCTCAGAATGGGTAAATGTTTGCGCAAATTTTTCCCCTTTTATTGACTCGAGGGGTTTGGGAGGTCTCCAAACTTGTAGATTGGTGTCTAATTTGTTTAATTTCTTTATTTTCTGTTCTGAGATATTAAACAATATCTCAGAATGGGTAAATTTAAGAAACAAAACGTGGCACTGTAGCTTGCGCATAAAGGGGCATTAACACTATTAAATTTTGGTTCTTAAGTAAAGGAAAGTAGTCATGTGTCATATATCTTAATGAATATTTTAGTCATTATTAGCATTAAAAAATATATTTAAAAAAAACTCGTCTCTACCCTCAAAGTAATCTTTTTTGTCATTTTATAATAGTACAGTAAAATCCATTAAGATGTTCTCACCTAAGATGTTAGAATGTATATGAGGACACGATTTAGTTCAATCACTTTGATGCTTAATAACTAACTCCTGTGTTAAACCATCTGACTCCGATTCCGACCACTCTGACCGTAGAAATTATTAGGCTTGAAACAGGGTGAACAAAATCATGCCCTACACACACAGTCTAACATCCACACATATAGAAAAAATCTTGAATCTTTCACATATCTTGAAATTTCAAGGTGTCCTGAGTCCAAAAATGTAAAAATTTGGGAGTCATTTTTTTGAATGAGTGCTACACTTTCCCTCTGTTATATATACAGCCGGAAAAGTAAAAATTATCAAATACATATTTATATATTACTTAGAGGAGTCTTTTAGCTTTGAGGAATAAAAAGTTTCTATGTTCTATCTTTATTAGAACTCTATTTATTGAATCTTTTATTCTGAGGTCACGTGATGACATCAGAATTTCCGGGTCTCTTTTGGTAACAAGTCCACCCTTGGTCAGAGTCGGATGGTAAGAAAAAGTCAAAGTCGGAGTAGGTAGATTTTTACGTGACTCCACAGCCCTGGTTAGAACTGTAAATGAAAGTCATCTCTTGCTCTCACATTACACTCTTATGTTTTCAGTGCTTTTTTCATTGTTTTTGATTTGTTTGGTTATAGTGTTTTTCATCAATTTTTAAAAATTTCTTCCAATTTTCTTTGTCAATATCTTTCGAATGTCACCATACATTGTTTATCTGTTAGTTCAAAATTTCCTGAAAGGAACTTTTTAAACCACATTTGCATATTCAAATCTTAGGAGCATCTTCCCTATACATGTTATAAACCCTTTTTACTGCTTGTTTGGCATTATATCCTTTCTGAAATTCATAAATAGTAGTATGTTAAATATGTTTTTTATCTTAAGACATCTTGACTGAATTTTATTCAAGCAAAATATGAAGTTTAAAATAAGCTTCTAAACAAAGAGTACAATCCCATTAGCAATAATGTGTTAAATTTCACAACTTATAATTAAATCAAATAATTATGTTAAGTAACAACATCTGATTAAAAACAGCAAAAAACTTTCTGTTCAACTCAATGAAACTTATTACAGAATCTGAAAAGGGTGTGGAATCAACAAAGTCTAGAAGAAAGGTTGTAGTATCAACAATTGAAATTAAAAAGGAACTTATCATGAAACATGAAAGTGTACGCTTGTGGCAGATATGACAGCCATGTTTAAGACGTTGAAGCTGATGATATGCTACCAGTAAATGCAATTTTAATTTTATTATACAGTATTTACTTATTTTATTTATTGTTTTGTGTTTTAATTTATTATTATGGAATTTACTTGTGTTATTTTTACCTTAAATTATGCATATTTACTGTTTTAATTTTATTGAAATGGGCATTGTTTAGGATCTTGGAATGAATGAATTCATTTTCCATTATTTCTTATAGGAAAAATTAATTTGGACTTTGAATAACCTGCTGGAATGAATTCAGTTTGAAGTACAAGGCACCACTATATTATGCATGCATATTTCAAAAAAGATAAAAAGAAAAAAAACAAACAAAACCAATAGAAGACATAGTTTTTCAATTTTAATTTAAAAAAATGCTATGTTATGGTTGAAATAATATGTATTCTTATGTATTTATAATAATAAAACAAACTGTTAATTGATGTATCTAAATTCACTTGACTAAAAAATTGCAGATTAATAAAAGTTGAATGCTTTTAATGTATAAATATATAAATTGTAGAAGCATTCAGTTTTTAATCTACAATTTATGCATACAAGTGAATTTAAATACATCATTATCATTAGATGTCATTTTTTCCAATGTAAACTAACTCATTCCTCCATGAATTTCATCAAAGTTTCATTTGAAACATCATCAGAATAATGCATATACATTGAGCTGAATTAGTACTTTATGACCCACTCATTATTAACTCATTTAATTTTATGAACTTGTCTATTATCTGCACTGTACTGTACTCACAACAGCCACCTGACAGCAGCAACTGCAGAAATAAGCAAATGTTTTAACCAATTTTAAATTTATCAATACAAAATCTATATATATAAATGTGGATGTTTGTTTATTTACTATGCATGCCTAAATTGTTTGACCAAGTGCTAAGAAATTCGGCAGTTACTTAGCAATTGTACTTTAAAGGCATAACTTTGCTTTGAAACCAAAATATATTAAACTTTTAAAACATTATGTTAAAAAATGTTGCATTGAACATGTACACATGCAACTTTTTCCCATTACACAGTGTGTTTTATTGCCATTTTCTATAGTATTTCACAATAAAACTGACCCAATTTTTTTACAGCAATATCATTCCTACTCCTTTATCTAAAATCAGTCGTCGTTTAAACTGCTCAAGTACAATTTAGAGGTTTTCCAGTTTTTTGCATTTTCTGGAAATGCTACTTTGTCACTTGCAACAATAAATTATTTGATGTGCGTCTTCATTTATTAAAATATCATTTGTAATGTTAAAAAAGTATTATTACAGAGTAATAAATTTAAAATATGTCTAAAAAGTAAAAAACTTTTTCAATATACTTCATTCTATGCTTAACAAAATGCATAAATCGCTATCATTGTAAATCTTACACTATTCAGTTCCGGAAGTAAATCTCAATCTACTTTTACTATTTTTCTTGAATAAAACTGAAATTTATTATTACAGTATTTTTATTAATATAAACCAACTGTATATCTCATCCTAACAAAATAAAAATTTCATATAAAATAAAATGCTTTATAGAAAGCGATGTGATATTTTAAAGTCATTATTAACTAGTCATTTATTTATTATTATATCAAAAACATCATAATTAAATTAGTTTTTATAATTAGTTAAAATGATCGTATTATATGAAGCAAATAAATAGAAATATACAGTAAATTTAACTGATAATTTTTGTATATTAATAAATTTAATAGTGTACAAATAATACACAAATGTTAAAAATAAATTTAAAAAATTTTTCATTTGGAATTTTGTTTCCATAGTTTTAAAAGATTTCTGACAAAATATTAGCAAGGTTGCGGCCGAAGTTTTCAACGTAAAAACATGAACGTCGAACGTTCAGCACCGCTATCCTGTACACCTAGAAGTTTGACAATGGAGTTTGATAATGTTGAGCATGATTCCACTGATGTTCCAAAATGCCATTGTCAAACTTCTAGGCTTACAAGAAGGCAGTGCTGAACATCTGACATTCATGTTTTTACATTAAAAACTTCAGCCACAACCTTGCTAATAAATAAATAAATATCAATAATTACTTTAAAATTATATCTAAAATTCAGTTCAAATATTTTATTTTATAGTTTTTGAATATTCAGAAATAAAACTCACCCTTGAGTCCTAGGATCTTCCCATTGTGTAGTTTTATTTTTATGATTAACAAAATATACTCTTCCATTTGGATCTATTCGTTTTTCTACAGTAAAATTAATATTAATTAGTGTGCGATATATATATATATATATAAAACTATATAACAAAAATTACTTACCCCATCCTTCAGGTAATGGTCCTAATGGATCATCATCTTCAACCTGAACTGGAGTCTGAAAAATAAGATGAGAAAGTTTAGTCAATAAATCTAAATAATTAATATTGAAGTACAAATATTTTCAATAAACAAATTACAATTAATTATAATTAACAACTGACTTTAATTAATAATTACAGATATTATTTTATTTACTAAATAAAATTTATATTATTTTTTTATTTTCTTAAAATATAAAATTATTGCAAATTCAGTACAGTCGAACCCCCTATATGTTATAGGGGTTCCTATAGTTCGGATTCCTATATCATGGCGAAAAAATTGTGACTGTATTCGTACAAACATGCTAAAAAAACTCGTATAATTCAGTAAAACATCGTCATCAACTTGCGTCGTGACAGGATTGGTCGAATCGGGACCAATGGTGGACGAGCAGCTGAACTACTTACACACTACGGAGAGTTTAGACAAGTAAATTGGGTTTACTATCGTCTGTACAGTATATAAATTAGGTACTGTAAGTCTAATACAGTACTGTAATTTTATACATTTCTTGTGAAAAAAAACATTTCTTATTCAACGGCCATAAAAATTATTTCTATTAATGATGTCTCCAAAGTTCAGCGAATTTTTTGCAGAAAAATAACTTATCAGAAAACTTTTGTCATTGCTTAAGCTTGTTTTCGTCGTGGAGTGGCGCTCCGCAATGAAAACAAGCTTAAACAATGACATAGTCGAACAGTACATACTCAGTAAGCAAGCCTACAATTTTTTCTTTATAGCATAGTTTATATGGATTACTCCCAAAAAATTATACATATTTTGGAAATGTTGAGTCGAATTAGTCTAGAATCGATTAATTTTATGGAAGAAAACCTTTCAAACAGCCGTAGTCCGTAAACTGCATACGTGCCGGGCTGTGATTGGCTCATGTATTCAAGGACTCTTAGAACATCAATTTCATAAAGAACGGAACTATCTACCATGTTATAGGGGGGGGTCGACTGTATTATTTATAAATTATCAGAGTTAATTGATTTTATTTATAAAATATAATTTTAAATCACTTCCATTTCAAGTTTTTTTTTCATTTTTGATTCTTTCTGCCCTGTGGACACTAAAAGAGCATTTATTCATTCTCATCATTGGCTCAGTCAGGCCCATAATGGAGGTAACTGAGTGGTAAAAGATAGGGGCTAAACATATCTGGAACTCATCACCCATGAAAAATTCCCAGGGTTGCTCATCTGGATTCAATTCCTAGTCCCCAGAGCAATAGATAAACTGATGCCTTCACCACTTTATCCATCTAGCCATCTCCATTTTAATTATGAAAATTAGCAACTTAAATATAACTAATCAATTCAATATGATATCTAATATAATGGAAGTAATAAAGTAAATATGAATATAAATAAAATTTCTTCTGTCACCTGAAAAGATATATATATACAAATAAATTATAAAATTATACAATTTAACCAACATACATGATACAGAAATCTTTGTTGACACTGTTGCATGACTTGAGCTTGATGAGATTGCCAATGCTGAAAATTCCTAACACTTTCAGCTGTTGGTCTTTGCCATGTAGTAGTTCGTGTATTATGATCAACATAATAAACTCTTCCTCTATTATCTCTACGCATTTCCCACCTTTAAAAAAAATAAACTAAGTAATTAAATATTCAAAAACTTATTTAAAAACTTTTTATTATTACTATAATTACAAGTATTTTAAAATAATATGTAGTAATTTTGAAAATAAGAGAAAAGAAAAATTTAATTTTAAAAATGTTTGTACAACTAGAATATATTCCAGCAATCTATTCCAAACATCTCTGTTGTCAATAATCTAAATCAAACTCAGCAGAACAATTCAAAATAAATCTAAAAACACCTTTTTGGTTGGTAGGATTTGCTTTCATTTGACAAATGTTCTCAACCTAGTCTGTTCTCAATTGTAATTTATCTTTGTATTACTCTTTATACAGAATATTGACTTCTTATAAGTAATCATTTTACTTTCTTTAAAAAGAAAGTAAAATTATTTTAAAGTATTCATTTTCATTTCTTAATAGATTAAACAAGATGGAAATTCTATTTATGAAACAAAGAACTACAGAAATTTGTTCTATCCTCTATATAAGAACTTTTGAAAACTTAAACAAGCAAGCAGTTTGACCTTTCAATTAAAAAAATTTTATTATTATTCTCACACAAAAAAAAAACACTACAAACATATTGAGTAAATAAATGAAAAGTTTATTGACAAGAAGTAAAGAATTTAGTCATGCCACAAGTAAAACTTATTGACATCTTGAAATAATGTAACCATCTGACTCTTCATTCATCACCCAAGTGTAGCATTATTTTATTAAATGTTGTGATAACTGAAAATATTTTATACCAGAGCAGAAAATTCTCATAGAAGAAAGTTACAAAGTAGAAAACTTACTAAATATTAGACAGCTTACATGAAGCTTATAAAGATTTGTTAACAAAATCTTTTATAAATGATGGTCTACAGAATCTGTGTGAAACAAAAAAGGATGTTATAAAAAAGTTATGTGAAGAAAGACTTCCAAGACATTTGAACAAACTTAGAAGTAAGTTCCATAAAATCTTTAAGTTGTTTAGCTCAAGTGACTAGATTCATCTCATAGTTCTGTTCATATAACTACCAAAAACAAACATAATGAAATTTCAGTCATATAAAGTAAAAGTTGTCCATGGGCTTGCTTATTTATTTATATGAAGTTTCAAATACTGTATCTCTTGATCCTATAATAAATAAATGTTACACATTGCTACTTGTGAGCAAACTTTACATTTGTTCAGATGGTATAATAGAGAACTTCTAAAACAAAACTGCTGCTTCATTACACATGTAAACTTTAAATTTGAAAAATCAAAGATGAAATAATCAGTTGTAGCATCATTAAAGTCACATGACTTTTAGTAAGATAGTCAAGAAACTAGAAGATATACTTCTCTACTTATGTAAAACTATAGTGCAATAAAACACATTTCAGTTTCACAAAAATAGTACTTATTATTTTACTTTAATTTTAAATATTTTGTTCTGTTATTTGGCTAATTCGTTCTAATGAAGCTAATCATAGACTAAACTAGACTAAACATACTAAAGTTAGTAAATACTATAGTTTTATAGAAAAATTTTATTAATTTATTAATATAAATTATTCTTTAAGTATGTTTTAAAATATAAAGATGCATTTTCCTGCATAAGTTAAAAAAGAAAAAAGCTAAACTATAGCATTTACAATATTATGTAAATAACAGGTTGTGTTTAATTAAATTAGTTTAAAAGTTGCATATTACAACTTTTAAATTAATCTAACTAAATTTTTTTCTAATTACAGAAAATATTTCTCATAAAAAATTTAAGGTAAAACAGTTTTGTTAAGAATTTTGTTACAATGTAAATTCAAAAAGTATACTTTATTACCATTACTTGATATTTATCATTTAAACTGGAGAACAGTTGCTTAGGAAGTTATTTTATGAGCAAATAAATATTTATATTATACAATTAATAATCACATGCTTTAATAACCTTTTTTATTTTAGAATGGACACTTCACTTAAAAATTATTATATCAATAGAAAACAGATCATTAAAAGACTAGCAATATTTATTTTTACTTGGACACTGTTTATAAGCGAAGCACAACAATGTTTTAAAATATTCCTATATTTTATTATAACTAAAATAAGCAAAGAGACTAAGTAAAAAATCAATATTGCTAATTTCGTTTTAAACTATTATGCAATCAAAAATATTAATGAATAAAAAATTAAATTTTTTGATTTATACCCTGGAGGTAATGGCTGAGGCCTTTCCCATGTTGTACTCCTTGTATTATGATCAACGTAGTATTTTCGGTTATACTGATCAAATCGAACTTCCCATCTAAAACAAATAAAAATATTTTTATTAAATCAAAAGATTTACTTATCAATTATTTGATGAATTAAAACTGATATGAAATTGATTTGAATAAAATGTAATCAAGAAAACTAGCTATCCAATAAACTGAAAATTATAAATATAGCATTAATACATGGCATGTAACTTACATGACTTATCATTTATAACAATTTATTTTAATTTAAAAAGAATGTGAATGAATTAATATTTTATTTCATTAAAAAGCAATCATTTAAATGTTTTCTATTCCTTTTGCTGATGAAATTATAGCTTTAAAAATATTTAAATTAAGTAAATTGAAATGTAGAAATTGAAATAAACTTTATTTAATCAATAATTGAAAATAATATTTTAACAATTTTCTGTTTATTGATTAATATTAATAAACTACAATTTCACAGTATCCAAGTGATGCAAATGCTATATACACACATGAAAACCTAGCTGTCCCACCACTTGCTTTCTTCAAAGCCTTAACCCAATCAGCCATGGAATCAATGAGTTCTAAAGTCTTGGCCTGTGGAATGTTGGCCAATTTTGCTTGCAAAAAATCTAAAAGTTATCCATGGAAAATGGATTTTTGTGAACATTGTCACCCTACATAATCCAGCAGATTCTGCATAGGTTTTATAAGATTCAAATCAGGTAACTGACTAACATTATCAAGCCATGGAAGATGACTTATACTGACAACCAATTCTGGGTTGTTTTGGCAATGTGACAAGGAGTTTGTTTCATCATCCATGAACAGGGTGGATGCTTTCTCCATCAGTCCACCAGAGAATATTCAAATTCAACTTCTCCAACATGGCAATATATTTTTCAGAGTTAATACTACTGACATTCAGTATTTCTGTTTACTTATGGGTTGTCTCTGTATTTAAGTTTCAGAAAAAAGTTTTAAACATGCATAAAAAACACAACAAAAAAAACTGTTGACAAAATATATAAATGTATTTTTTAATCTGATCTGTAATTTGATATATTATTTAATCTGATTAAATTCTATTTAAAAAATTTATAACAGAGCTAATGCATTGACACAAGATTTGTAGAATTCAGAAGACAATAACTTGACAGCACAGCTCTTATTGATAAATCATTATACAGTTATCTCCTACTTTACAAAAGTTTGCTTTACACCACTTTGCTTTTACAAGAGATTTATATTAATACCTGTTTTCACTAACCAAGAGAAATCTGAAGAGGGGGAAAGGTAATGAAAAGATGCACTTCTATTTTAATGCTTCTCACAATCAACATGCCTCAAAGGCTGTAATTCCATCATATCTGACATTGAGGTTCAGTAAATGATGCAATGAGCCAAATGAATATCATCATCATCATGAGTTAACTAAGTTTTGAATTCATTTACTTGAGCCAGGTTTTCCTTAATGTACAATTGCATGTATTTATTTGAGAAAAAGAAAAATCATATGAATATGTAGACTAATTCATCTTGAAAAATCAATGTTTAAAACTCAAAACAGAAGTAAATTTAGCGTGAACAATTATTTTCACTTAGGACTGATTAGTTATATTTAGATTTCTTAAAAGTTTAAAGTCCATGAAATGTTTATAATACTCTTATCATTACATAAATTCAATAATAAAAGTTATCTCGATTCAAGGTACATGTGTCATCCAAAAGCAAAAGGCTCTTTCTCCATAAAATTGAAAATCAAGTTGCATACTTGTCTTTGTAATTGTCTTGACAAGATGTTAATTTTACAAATTGTCATTATATCTAATTAGTGTTCTTTAGTGATACCACCCAATATTCAATAGAAAAGAAATAATCACAAAATCCAATAAAGAATATCACTCCAAAACTAAAGAATAATAATAAATATGATGAAATTATACTTTGATTACTATAAACAATTTGAACTAAAAATAAGATGAATAAACAATCTGCCATTTGTCAGCCAATTGGACTTTTAAAACCAATGATTAACTGAAAATTATATAAGTTTAATTGAAATTAGTAACAACAATGAGATTAAAAACAGAAAAAATTGAGAACAGCCCTTGCAATCATTTCTATCACTATAAACTACACTTTAATATATTGGGTTGTTTGGAAAGTAATTTCATTTTTTTTCTGTGGAAAAGAACACAATTTTTATANATTTTTATCATTTTACTTCATTTATATTTTACTTATAAAATAATATTAATAAAATATATAATAATAGTAATAATAAATCTAAAATAACATAAAACAAACTTTTAACACTAATAATAACCAATAACACATATGAAAATGTATGTGGTATACAAAGCATTTTCACATTTTTAAACATCCTGGATAAGTTCAGATAAAGGAAAGTTTCCAATGAGTTCATAATTACAAGTTAAAATCAACAGATAACTTGAATCATTTCACAACCCATACTTACTTCAAACTAACCTTATGTAGATAACCCATAAGGGTTATCTACATAAAATTACAGTAATTCAAAATCATGTAAACTGAATTTATATAAAATTTTTTTTATATAAATTCAGAATTTTATATAATTAATAGAATCAACAAGGCTAATGAACTTTCAGTATACAAGATAGACAATTATTAGCAAGACTGAAAACTTTTTTAACTTCAAATTTCATATTTAATTAATATAAACAATGACTTTTATATTAATTAACAAAATACAGCTAAAATCACATATAATGAATTGCCTCTGAAAATGTGGAAAATCCATTATATAGAAAATTTGTTAAATGGGAAATGGTACAGTTCTGGAAACTGTACCATTTCCCATTTAACAACATACTATAATATTTTATTCTCCATGAAAATATTCTTGAACTCTAATTCATAACAAAATAAAGTACAGTGATATCTTGTACTTTGAATGTTTCAGAGTTCAAATGCTAAATTCAACAAAAATTTGCCTCAGATTACAAACTTCAGAGTTTGAACTGTGCATGCACAGAAATGTGTTAGAACCAGGGCTGTGGAGTCAGAGTCGTGGAGTTTTGAAGTCAAAAAATCCGCCGACTGACTCCTTTTTACTTCCTAACTGGTTATGTATATAAAATGGAAAAGTAATGGAATCGTGTCAAATTTGACCCTCCAAGTTTTTTTTTTTTTTTTTAATGCTAATAACAACTAAAATATTCATTAAGAGATATGACACGTGACTACTTTCCTTTACTTAAGAACCAAAATTTAATAGTATTAATGCCCTTTATAGAAAAGAGCTGGCAGAATTACAATTTAATAAAAAGTAAAATACATCTGGATACGAGTCCTGATGATTGGGCATGGCAAGAAAAATTGGACTCGTATCCAGATGTATTTTACTTTTTATTAAAAAGTATTAATGCCCCTTTATGCACAAGCTACAGTGTCACATTTTGTTTCTTAAATTTACCCATTCTGAGATATTGTTTAATATCTCAGAATGGGTAAATGTTTGCGCAAATTTTTCCCCTTTTATTGACTCGAGGGGTTTGGGAGGTCTCCAAACTTGTAGATTGGTGTCTAATTTGTTTAATTTCTTTATTTTCTGTTCTGAGATATTAAACAATATCTCAGAATGGGTAAATTTAAGAAACAAAACGTGGCACTGTAGCTTGCGCATAAAGGGGCATTAACACTATTAAATTTTGGTTCTTAAGTAAAGGAAAGTAGTCATGTGTCATATATCTTAATGAATATTTTAGTCATTATTAGCATTAAAAAATATATTTAAAAAAAACTCGTCTCTACCCTCAAAGTAATCTTTTTTGTCATTTTATAATAGTACAGTAAAATCCATTAAGATGTTCTCACCTAAGATGTTAGAATGTATATGAGGACACGATTTAGTTCAATCACTTTGATGCTTAATAACTAACTCCTGTGTTAAACCATCTGACTCCGATTCCGACCACTCTGACCGTAGAAATTATTAGGCTTGAAACAGGGTGAACAAAATCATGCCCTACACACACAGTCTAACATCCACACATATAGAAAAAATCTTGAATCTTTCACATATCTTGAAATTTCAAGGTGTCCTGAGTCCAAAAATGTAAAAATTTGGGAGTCATTTTTTTGAATGAGTGCTACACTTTCCCTCTGTTATATATACAGCCGGAAAAGTAAAAATTATCAAATACATATTTATATATTACTTAGAGGAGTCTTTTAGCTTTGAGGAATAAAAAGTTTCTATGTTCTATCTTTATTAGAACTCTATTTATTGAATCTTTTATTCTGAGGTCACGTGATGACATCAGAATTTCCGGGTCTCTTTTGGTAACAAGTCCACCCTTGGTCAGAGTCGGATGGTAAGAAAAAGTCAAAGTCGGAGTAGGTAGATTTTTACGTGACTCCACAGCCCTGGTTAGAACTGTAAATGAAAGTCATCTCTTGCTCTCACATTACACTCTTATGTTTTCAGTGCTTTTTTCATTGTTTTTGATTTGTTTGGTTATAGTGTTTTTCATCAATTTTTAAAAATTTCTTCCAATTTTCTTTGTCAATATCTTTCGAATGTCACCATACATTGTTTATCTGTTAGTTCAAAATTTCCTGAAAGGAACTTTTTAAACCACATTTGCATATTCAAATCTTAGGAGCATCTTCCCTATACATGTTATAAACCCTTTTTACTGCTTGTTTGGCATTATATCCTTTCTGAAATTCATAAATAGTAGTATGTTAAATATGTTTTTTATCTTAAGACATCTTGACTGAATTTTATTCAAGCAAAATATGAAGTTTAAAATAAGCTTCTAAACAAAGAGTACAATCCCATTAGCAATAATGTGTTAAATTTCACAACTTATAATTAAATCAAATAATTATGTTAAGTAACAACATCTGATTAAAAACAGCAAAAAACTTTCTGTTCAACTCAATGAAACTTATTACAGAATCTGAAAAGGGTGTGGAATCAACAAAGTCTAGAAGAAAGGTTGTAGTATCAACAATTGAAATTAAAAAGGAACTTATCATGAAACATGAAAGTGTACGCTTGTGGCAGATATGACAGCCATGTTTAAG